TGATTTTTTGGACAGACGTAGGAGGGTGTGGCGTCGTCGAAACGAGCGCTTCCAAGACGTTAACGTCATCAGACATGATCGATTTGGGGGTGGTTCTGTTATGGTGTGGGGAGGCATCACTGTTGCTGGAAGAACGGCTTTACATGTTGTTGCAGGGCGTGTTACAGGCCAGTACTACCGGGACAGCATCTTGGCAGTCCATGTTGTGCCGTTCGCACGACGTCATGGCCGCCGTTTCATCTTCCAGGATGACAACGCAAGATGTCACAGGGCCAGGATCGTTACAGGTTACCTCCAACAACAGAACATCACCACATTACCTTGGCCAGCACTGAGTCCCGACCTCTCCCCCATCGAGCATGTCTGGGACATGCTTGGACAGAGGTTACGTCAACGTCAACAACGTCCTGCCAATGTCCAAGAACTTGCTCCTGCGTTGCAACAGGAATGGGACAATCTGGACCAAAATGACCTTAGACGTCTCATTAGGAGTATGCCACGTCGGATCAATGCTTGTTTGGCAAACAGAGGAGGATTTACCCGTTACTGACTTGGTTGTGATGCTGTGGTAACTTTGCTGTTTGACCCCGGGTATCATTTTACCCTTATAATGGTCAGTCTGTGCCTTACTTAGTCTAACGATCATTTGGAATAAATCGATGAATGTGAACTTCATTTCATTTTGTCATTTGTTTCTTCGTCAGTTTCATTAGGTGACTTTAATAACACTTAAAAATCAAATATCCCCTACTTTTTTTGAATAGTATATTTTATAATTGAAAATAATAGCCCCGTCCTGGGGTGACGCTGTTTCATTAAATAGGGACGAATCTTTATGCCGAGTCAAACGGTTAGTTGTCAGTCAAATGATATCCAATTGTTAGATGGTTCCAGTCAAATGGCATTCAGTCCGATAATATTGTCGTCAGACGGTACTTTAGATTGTATGCAAAGGATGGTATCTACTTGTTAGGCGGTGTTCTATTAGACCGAACATTTCTTGTTTCGAACCTGTCTTGTCTAGGTCTAAAATAGGGAATAAGATTATGGGCGTAGTTTTGCCAAGTGAGGAGATGTTGGTTATTTGATAAAACATTTTAAAAGATATGTAAAGGTTGATAGCGTCTGGTGTCCGAATCATCAATGGGTTTATTGATGTCACCGTCGTTGGCTGTGAAGGAAGAATTGTTAGTGTTAGCAATGTCAGAGTTGTTGGCTGTGTCGAAAGAGACTCGATGTAGTAGAAAGAATTAGCGCCTGGTGTCCAAATCATCGGTGGTTGTGGGTTTAACGATCTCATCGTCGTTGACTGTACACGAAGAATCATCATCGGTGGGTTTGTCGATGTCACCGTCGTTGGCTGTGAAGGAAGAATCATTGGTGGTAGCAGAAGTTAACAACAACTGTAAGAGTTGTTAATAGTTGTTGGCAGTGGTTGAAAGATTATCGTGAGTGTTTAATCGGGGAAGAGTACCAAGTATAGTCTGCAACGCTTTCCTGGGGAATTCCATTTTATATATGGCGGAGAAATGAAGGGGACCTAGCAAGACAGAGATAATTAAACGTTGAATCTCGAACAAGAATAGTTTATGCGGTCTATTATAGAATATGAATAGTTCATTTTGAATTGAATGCAGATAGTTTTTATTGTTGATTATTAGAAGATGTGTGTGTGATCACTGAGATTTACTAAGTTTAGCAGTGGTTACAAAGCTAATTGGTGGTTCCTGGGGTCGAATATGGAGATTTCAAGGGGTATCAGCTCTCTAGGTGGACCACCCCGGCAGAATTACGGTGAAATCATTGATATTATTCCTGCTCAGTAGAGTTATAGTGAGGGTGGGGTCTTCTAAGAATTATTCATGTTTCTGATTGGTTGGATTGTCCTGTTTATAATGTGTGTATTTTAGTAAGGGCGGAACTTTGATTCAGCCCACTGTACAAAGGGGGGCTTAATAAAACTGGGAGGTGTGTAGTGATTTCGTAACTTGACAGGTTTTCAACGTTCAGAGTAGGTTTGGCTCTCCCAAACTCAACCACATTGATGGGTTGCCTAAACTCGACTACCTATATGGATCGCCCAAACTCTTGTATAATCTTGGAGTGCACGTGCTGTTGGCCTATATAAGAGGGTTGATTAGCTGAAGTGGGGTGTGTTTTACTGCAGATTAGAAATGGTCGCCTGTCTGGCAGACCAGTGGATTTTATGGATATCACGGTCGCTTATTTAGCAGACCGGGTGATTTTATGTACTAGTATTTTATAGTGTTCTGATGGAGTTGTCGAATGGTAGATCTAAATAGCCCTTATATCACCTTCCTTGATTTGGCAAATCACTTCAATACGATATGCCATAATATTCCCCACCTTACCGTTGTCACGATTTGGCCTTTCAGTTACATGTATATCATAGATCCATATGTCTATATATGCGATCGAATATAATAGAAATAATATTCATATTAACACAGATACATGTAAAAATATTGAAACTTTGCATGAAATAAACCTGCAAGTATAGTAAATCCATAAAGCTGAAGAGATTTAACATTACATATGTACTATCAATGGAGAGAAATTACGAGCGTATATCGATCTGTGTCTTAATTTGATAATATGCGCAGTTAAGTATTGAGTATACATGTAGTTCACTCGGCAAATCTCGACAGATTCCGTTACGTACCCTACATCTAATCTCGGCTGTATGACAGTAAGTGATACGTACCTACGCCCATACTTTTGCGATGCGGCTGCCGGTTTACTTTAAACAGGAAAACGTGTCGCTTTTACAAAAAAAGTCCCAAATTGCGTTTTTGTAGGATGTATATACCTAAATGAGCAGAGATATTGTCTCAAGGCTGCTGGTTTGATAAAATTCCCTGGTAATTCCCCAAACCCAATGCCAAACGTGGCGTTTGTTGATATAATACACTCTCCACAGAAATCTCCATGGGGGGCAACCATTTTTCATTCGGACCCTTTAAATAGTTCAAATATGGCGGAAATGGTCATACAGCCGAGATTAGATGCGTAGAATCTATCGAGGTTTGCCGAATGCATGTAGTTGAGTCAGAACATAATTTATTTTTAGAACAGGGTATTGCGTTATATTTGTGTTGTAATCTAACCCCAGTTTAATCCAATCCACGCTCACCCACACCATTAGGATATATATATATATAACGCGTGGACGAAATTGCGTATGTTCTCAGTCAGTGCTGTACAGCGAAATAAGAAGGTACAATATCTTAATATCGCTTCGAATATTCCAGAATATATATAATATATATAAATGGTGTTTTATCAGTGATATTTCAAACAAATGAATTATTGTTGCCTAAAACTAATTCCTTAACGTTCGATTTATCAGATTTGACTATACCTGTGTGCGTGTGCGTGTGTGTGTGTGTGTGTGGGGGGGGGGGGGGTGACTATTGTAAGAATTCACAACGGGTAAATGTGGTGATCGTAATTTGTATACATTATATTATTTTTCAGTTATTTATAATTAAAATAAATAATAACAAGAAGATATACCGGTATCTGTTCATCAGTAGTTCTTAACTAATTATTATTGTTATGTGCTGTTATTATTATTGTTATTTAAACTTAAAGATACATTATGGGAGATAAGATAACGAGATGGCAGTTCTCGCTATAATAGTTAAAAACTAGATAGTGCAGGTAATTTGCTGAAAATTTCAGTCAAATTGATCCACTATGAGCCGAGAAAGAAGCGGGTGAAATTTTGGCATAGTCTCGGTCATCATTACTAAAATCATTAATATAAACAGCTTAGTCTCGATTATCCACTTTTTTTGATTTAATTATCAACGGCATAGGAATCTAATCCAGCCAACATCGAAGGCTAGCCTTGACATCGAGAGTTTATTATGGTCTGAATAAGTTAATTAATGTCTAATTGATAATTTAGATAACATTTCAGGCCTAAAGAAAGACTTGTAATAAGCAGATTTTGCTCTTGCATAATGCATGTTTAATATTTGTTTGAAAACAGTATTTAAAAATTTCCCTTTGTCAGTCGCTTTAATTTTGTAGAAATGCAAACTCAAATTACAGAACAAAACATGTGGTGGTTAAGTTTACTTTCCAAAAGTTGCCAGGACTAAACGGAGAGAGAGAAATGGGGTTTAACGTCCACTCGACTAAACGTTTGTCATTTCGGGACTATGGTTCAATTTTATTTCAACAACTCACACCTTATCACGTACAAGCGGAGAGTCGAAACCTCGCCATTTGAGTCGTAGTGATAGATCTTGACATATAACGCGCACGTGTTAAACTATTCGCCCCCTCCCCCCTCCTCCGAGGTAAACGGACGGAAAGCGTTGGGGACCCATGGCCTTTGATCCTTTTCGATTACACATCCGTAAGATGATATATAGATTTAACAGTGGCCCATATAGAACATGCGTTTATTTTTTAATCTATATTATTTTTTTCTCCCCTATTCTCACTGCGGCGAGAATAACTACCACCGCGGTTGAATTTACCGCTGTTATAGATCGATCCCAGAGATAACTTTACCCTTCGTTTATCTCTGGAAAAATCGCCTGTCATTAAACAGCGTAAAATAAGTTCCTTAGCTCCGCCCAGAGTCGCATGATTTGTTAGAATGAAATGGTTCCGATTTCAAAATGGCCGGCGAGTTTTATCAGAGATAATTAAACGAAATGGTAAACTGTGGTGAGAATAATTACCACTGCGGTGTTAATTATTTCAATTGCGTCTGTAATTATTCTCACCGCGGTGGTAATTATTTTTACCGTGGTTAGAATTTGGTATAAAAAATAATATAGATTAAGAACAATCGTAATATATAATCTTAATAATAGTTAATACGGCTTTGGGAAGAGTCTCTATCATCCAAAGAATATTCTACGTTGAAGACTAGCAGGTTCTGGGTGACCGAGACTACTTTGGGTAAAACCATCTCACTATAAATATGAGAGTATCGTCACAGCGCGTGCGCCAACGTGCGGTAAACACAATTTATCAAAAATTTTTAAACAAAGCAGTGAGCCGATACTTTTAAGCGTCCGCTCCCTAAACCGTGCTTATTTTTAAAATGGAATTCACAATAATGTGAGCTAGATCTAGATATCTTTAGGCAAGGTGAAATCTAAATGACCCTCTTTTAACTTTTATGGTAAAGTATTTTCGAAAATTCAGTATATTGTATCCATCCGCGTGTTCTTAGCCTGCTCATTTACATTAGGGATTACACACTCGCTCGACGTTCAGACAAGGGCGGATCCAGGAATTTTTGCAGGGGGGGGGGGTCATGTTCCTGAGACAATGTATCTTCTCCCCCCCCCCCTTCCCGCATGGTCTCTATCGTCATTTTGGCGTGTATAGGCCTACATCACATTGAGCTTTTTAAACAGAGAAATTCAACACGTCGTTTGACGTCAATTTTTATTATGTTATGAATTAATACAATGACATTGTGATTCAATTTCATGGAGGCAAAGCATTAATTGTGATATCACATAATGAATGTCTATATCATTACCTCGTGCTTTGAGTGCCCATCCTGTCCCAAATCTGACGATAAAGGAAATAGCACCCGCCCCTGGTTCAAAGCTAACTCAGTAACTGCTACCGATAGAGATAGAGAAACCTTGGAGATCATGTTTGATCCGACTCCCTTTTCTATTTTCATCACTTTTACACAGAAAAACTAGCGGTTAGCCGTCCGTACTGTGTCCACATGGAACTTCATACTTTCTATTAGTTTCAGGGTCAGGTATTTAAGATTAAAACCTATAACACAAAAATGGGAAACAATAGGCCTAACATTATTTAAATTTTCCACCTGATCAAAGGTTGTGCACTCAATGACCTGCATCTGTTTCTGGTAAAAGACGAATTCCATTTTATATTCCTCCAATGTCCCAGATACGAAAACCTGAGCTTGCAATATATCTTCCCTACTTTAAAGGAGCTAATATTTTGGAAATTAACACGAATGGGTCACAACGCATATAATAGTGTAATACATGTATGAATGTATATAAACTTATAATTACATTCAATTGTTTCTGTTTTTACTCTAATTTCAAATCAGTTATACGCCAGAAGTCTCAATCAAATGGCAATCTCAAGCGTCTAATTATTCCAGTCTACATCAATAGTATTTATTGCAGTCCTAATAAAAATGCGGCGTCACCATTTGAATGACTCGTGGAATATGTCTTGCCTAATTTTTCGAGTCCTTGTTACAAATCGTGCTGAAACACATATGATTTGTGTACAAATGGTAAAAAGTTAAATTTTGTCTTAAAGATACATTCACGCACACAAATTTTGTGATTTGATGATATATTTGGACTAAAAACATATTCAAAGTAACCAATCTATCAAAAATTTGCTTCAATTCCCTCTCAAAACTTTGTATTTGCCAGGGATACCTATAGCTATAAGTAAGCTGTTAGATGCAATGTCTGTCAACTTATAAGCTTCATTGTGGGAGGGTCCATTTTTCAGAATATATTTATCATTACTTACTGTACATTTACCATACATATTGAGGCCTAAGTAAATTCTTAATTATTTCTGTCAACTTCTTTTTCCACCGGTTATTTGCAGATTCTTTTGTACATTGACACCCCTCAATGTTCCCAAAACCACCTAACCAATTGATCAAGAAATAACAACCGCTCCTTCACTTTAAGCTGGCACACAATATGAAATGAAATGAAATGGGGTTTAACGTCCTACTGTTCTGCTCCTATACTGGGCTAATGAAGACGGGCATACGCCATACAGTGTGCTATGAGGGAAATTTTGCCCGGGCAGCGGCACTATCGCCTACTCTTATATCGAATTCCAACTGCCAAGGGATCTTTTACGTGCATTCCAATGTTTACATGGGACCTTGGTTTTTCGTCTCATCCGAAGGACTAGACAGCTGTCCTTGTCAGGCCCTCCGTCCTTCATCACTGATAAGGGGAAACCACGTCGGAAAATCTGGATGAACTTTCTCAGCCAATGCAGGGATCGAACACCTGACCTCCAGGCTAGCGAGCCGGCGCCTTACCCACCTAGCCACCGTGGCTCCTGGCACACAATAAGCTGGCAGATAACAGTTGGGTTGCCAGTTAGTGATACCCTGACAATTTTGCCCAGTGCTTGCCCCATGGGCGTTTTTCAGGTAATCCGGTATTTTTCTAGTAAGATTGGGTGTCTATACTTTCCATATACACATGTATACCAAATTTGATATACTTTTATTGGAAATAACCACCCGAAAAATACTTTTTTGGGAAAGTATCTTTAAATATTGGATATCAGAAGCCCATCTTTTCCTTCTAAGATCACAACATCAATGTTAATTTAAATTGATAAATAATTCATGTTTTCAATGTTGAAAACTTTGAATGATACTTAGTTAAAGACTTAGGGTCTTAGCTACTTCAATATCATTTATAGGCCTATCAACTAATTTTTATTAAACTTCTTTCAATCCGCCAGATTTCCTTGCTAAAGCGGTAGCAATGTAGGTATATATATACCATGCTTTTAAAGAAAGGTACACCTGTCAGGTGTAATTGACTTTATGTCTAGTTTTTTTTCCTGCTGCATGACATGAAGGCCTACATGTCATATTTGATAAGTTATGTGTAAATCTACCATCATCTACATGTACAATGTTATATCTCATCATATTTTTCTTTTATCATCTAACGTTTTCCAGGTATTCCTTTTCAAATAATTGATTTTTGTATGCATGTATATATGTTTTGTATGGTTTCCTTAAACAATAATTATGCAAGAGCTAAATCTGTCTATTGCAGGTCTTTCTTTAGGCCTGAAATGTTATCTAAATTATTAATTAGACATTAATTAACTTATCCAGACCAAGTTATCAACTCTAGATGGCATCGCTAGCCTGCGATCTTAAGTGGATTGTGAGCCAATTTACTGCATAACTTCCCTTCTCGATTAAACGATTAAATAGATAATTGAGACTATGCTGTTTATCGTACTGACTTTAGTAATGATGACCGAGGCTGGCAGAAATTTCATTCGCTTAGTTTTCGGTTCATAGATCAATTTGAATGAAATTTTTAGCAAATTGCCTTTACGTTATCTAGTTTTTATTAACTATTATAGTGAGAACTGCCAACTCGTTATCGAATCTCCCATAATGTATCTTTAATAGACGTAATATGCAAATAAAAAAATTGAAGTTGTTGAGTTGAAAACTCAGAGCTAACAGTTGAAATCATATTATGTAGAAGAGGTTACCAAACTATTTAAATCAGTTTCAACAATGTTAAGAGTGAGACAATGCAGCTAGATCTTGGCCTTTTATAAAAAGCAAAAATGTTTGATTGTTAATAAACTTACATTGAGGCACTCAGCCTTTAGCATATGTCTGCACTGTAATAGTGTCAACTTAATTTCCCTGTCTACTCTGATACAATTGTCTTGGTAATATTCAAGCTAAAACTATTTTAGTACATAAATACAACTGGTACATGAATGAAATGAAATGAAATGGAGTTTAACGTCCTACTGTTTTGCTCCGAACTGGGCTAATGAAGACGGGCATACGCCATACAGTGTGCTATGAGGGAAATTTTGCCTGGACAGTGGCACTACGGCCTACTCTTATATCGAATTCCAACTGTCAAGGGATCTTTTACGTGCACGCCAATGTGTACACGGGACCTCGGTTTTTCGTCTCATCCGAATGACTAGACTGCTGTCCTTGTCAGGCCCTCCATCCTGCATCACTGACAAGTGGAAACCACGCCGGAAAATCTGGATGAACTTTCTCGGCCAATGCAGGGATCGAACACCCGACCTCCCGGCTAGCGAGCCAGCGCCTTACCCACTTAGCCACCGTGACCCCCCAACTGGTACATAAAATCTTAACAATCAAATAAGGGTAGCTCACACAATCTATTTTTAATTTATTCTAAATATATCAATGATGACATCAGACGGTAATTTATACGTTTACTTTTAAGTGCCGGTATGTATGACAATAGAATTTTCACTTAATTGATTATGATTAACTTGTACCTAATTGTTTATGATTAACTTGTACTTAAATAATATAATATCTGATTTTTTTTTTCAGTCTATGGATTTTGATAGAAGTATGTTGAATAAATAAAGACGAATAAACAAACAAATTATATAATTAGTAATCATGAAATGTATCCAGTGGTGAAAGGTGGATTACAAAGTTCGACCAATTATACCTGGAACCAAGCAGATCTATTAGGAAAGGGAGCTACAGCTGATGTCTATCTTGGGAGAAAAAAAGTAAACTTATATTATTGGTATACTAGGGACTATTATGAAGGACATGTACACCTCATTAATTTTTATACACCTACATTTTCATGTGGAAGTATAATTGTGGTCTCCCCTGTCCGTCCGGACGTTTTTCACATTTTGTTTGTGGACACTCTTCACCAGTGATTCTCAACCAAGTGATCCTAAGTGAGCATTCACTGGTGTCTACTGATAAGTTCGTAGCTGTGTTTTCTTTATTTAGTTCAAGTCAGTCTACATGTATGTGTCTATGACTAGTCTCTATCTACGGTTGTATGCCGCCTGACTTGCCATGTTTTTATTTTGCAAAATTCAAATATTTTTCATATGTATTTAGCCAGGTGTGCCGCTATTTTTTCATGTGTTTCAAGGTTTGCCGTTGGCAAAAAAAGGTTGAAAACCACTGCGCTAGAGGTCCTAATTTTTTTAATTTTGATGAAACTTGAAATGTATGTTTATATCCCAAATGTATGTTTATATTCCTGGATTATGGTTCTTTAATGTATGAAAAATCGCGTTTTCAGCTTGTGGTCCTTCACAATTTTTATCCGATGTGGTTGAAATTTAAAATGTATGTTTATATCCCAAAGATCTTGATATGTCGGACCCTATCATCCTGGATTACGGCTTTTTTAGCTTATTCTCGTCCATCTCTTGCAAAATGTAGACGTACATGTATCTTGCATGGCAACTGCTTGTTGTGTAAACTATCAGTATAGAGCCTTAAAGATGCATTCCCACGAATGTATTTATAGGGTAATTATTTTCAATTTCGGTATATATGGAAAGTAGAGACTCTTAAAATTACTAGAAATAAATTCGATTACCTGAAAAACACCTATGGGGCACACATAAATAAAAAATGTGAGGATATTCCTAAAAGACAGCATGTCTTGAGTGATGCAAGGAGCGCTTTTTTATGTGCTCATTTAATGGCTAAAGAAAATGTGGCAGGTGATATTCCAGGAATTTACTTTCATGTTTAGGCTTCGATATTTATTGTAAATGGATAGTGACTAAAGACAAATACAAGCTAAAAATGGATTCCCCCTCAAGTCATATGTAAACAAAGATGATAGAAATAAATTCTCGCGACTTAGGATAGTTTTCTTCGGATTGATTTGAAGCAAATGTTTGATAGATAAATTAGTTTGATTATGTTTTCTGTCCAAATATATCATCAAATCACACGGTTTGTACAAGGGAAGGCATCTTTAAATGCCAGACACTGAATTTAAATGAAATTATAATTTTTATATTAAGGTACAATAATATACATGCTAAGTTTTATTGCTTTGTCATGTTTTTGTTATTTAGATAACTTTCATTAGAATTTTTACTGGTGACTTCTTATTTTAATTCCATGTATACCACATTTGATTTAAAATACCAGGTATTATAAATAGTCTATTATTTCAAATACAATTTCATTTCTTTTAATAGGATAATGGAGAAGTTGTTGCAGTTAAACAGTTTCGAGCCAATGTTAGATTTGGACACAGCAGTGATGTTGAAATGCGAGAACTTGACGTACTACGGAAACTCAAACATGAAAATATTATTACACTCTATGATATTGAGCGTCAGGTATGGTCCAGTTTATAAAATCTGATATTTTCACTTATTATATAACAACGGGTGATGAAAGTTGGTGTTACCTTGATTTGCATAACATTTTGCCTCTACATGTTGCAGTTTCTGGCATGCCTCTTTAAAACTCTTGTTCCTTCAAGATTTAATCCATTCAGTACTTCTATTTACAGCTGAGATGCTAGTAAAATATACAAACAACATTCAAGACTATCATTTATTAACATGTATTTATTAATTGTAGTCTAGTACCGGTGTTCTTGTTATTATTATGGAATATTGTGAAGGAGGAAGTCTACACGCTCTTCTTGATCAACCACAATACAACTTTGGTCTCCCAGAAGAGTTATTTCTCTTGGTTCTCAAAAATGTTGGTAAGTAGACTACAGAACAGGCACTCAATGTAGAGACTAATTAATCATCTGATTTTTTTCAGAATTTACACATGTTGTTAATATTAGTTAGGCGGAGAATCATAAACAATTTCAATGACTTATTTCCCTTGTGAGCGCTTTTGATACAAAGGTTTTCATCCAAACTGAATTATTCAAACTAGTGATTCAAAGAAGCCTATTGAATTTCAACAATTTCCCTAAATTACTGCCTCAGTGGGATTGCACTTTCTATAACTGGAGAATATCAAATTGTTATATTACTTGTTCAGATAAACAAGATGAAAGATGATTGTCAATTTTTATACGCCCACATTGAAATGTGGACGTATATTGCCGTACGTCCGTCCATCGTCCACAATTTCTTGTGAACGCTCTAACGCCAAAAGTTATCATCCAATTGTTTTAAAATTGATATATGTTGTTTACATTAGTGAGATGAAGAAGCCTATTTAATTTCTGTTTATTATGTCTAGAGTTATGGCCCTTGTTTCACTTTAACGCCAAAAGTTATCATCCGATCTTTCTGAAATTTATATGCATTATTTAGATTACTCAAACGAAGACGCCTATTGAATGTCAGCAATTTCCGTTTATTACGTCTAGAGTTATGGCCCTTGTTTCACTTTATTGATCCTTGTGAACGCTCTAACGTCAAAAGTTATCATCCGATCTTTCTGAAATTTATTTGCATTATTTAGATTACTGAAACGAAGAAGCCTGTTGAATTTCAGCAATTTCCGTTAATTACGTCTAGAGTTATGACCCTTGTTTCACTTTATTGATCCTTGTGAACGCTCTAACGTCAAAAGTTATCATTCGATCTTTCTGAAAATTATATGCATTATTTAAATTAGTGAGACGAAAAAGCCTGTTGAATTTCAGCAATTTCCGTTAATTACGTCTAGAGTTATGGCCCATGTTTCACTTTATTGAACTTGTGAACGCTCCATCACCAAAAGTTATCACCGAATCTTTGTGAAAAGTATATGCCTATTGAATTTCAGCAATTTCCGTTATTACGTCTAGAGTTATGGCCCTTGTTTCACTTTATTGATCCTTGTGAATGCCAAAAGTTATCACCCGATCTTTGTGAAATTTATATGCATGATTTAAATTAGTGAAATGAAAACCTATTGAATTTCAGCAATTTACAATAATTACTTCTAGAGTTATTGCCCTTGTTTCATTTTGTTAAACCTTGTTAATGCTCGATTGATGAAAGTTATCATCCGATATGTATGAAATTTATATGCATTATTTAAATTAGTAAAACAAAAAAGCCTGTCAAATTTCAACAATTTCTGTAGATTACTTCCAGAGTTGAGACCCTTGTTTCAGTTTGTAGAACCTTGTAAACCCTCAAAACGACAAAATTTATAATCTGATTTGTATGGAACTGTCTTGTAAAGACCCCCAATTACCTACAAAGGAATAAATATTCGACAACCCTTGTCGACTGCTCGGACGATTTAGCTGCTGTGGGCGTATGTTTTGCTGCCTGGCAACCTATCTTTAAAATTTCTGCTGTAAGCTACTAGAGTTATTGCCCTTATTCACATTGTAGAATATTTTGAATGCTATTCCCACAGAAGTTATCATTGGATCTCCTTGTAATTAATGTACAAAGTTCAGATTAGCAGGATGAAGTGGCCCCCCAATTTTCATGAATTTCCACTTGTTACTTTGATATTTGAAACATTTGTTTACAATAATATTGATTTTCTTTCTAGTGGACGGTATTAAATACCTCAGTAGTATTGGTATCATCCATAGAGATATCAAACCAGGAAATATTATGCGATGTTTTACAGAAAGTGGAAAGTAAGTAATTTAATAAGGGTGGTAAATATAATGCATGAATAATCTAGTTAGACGTGTGGTATCATCTTTACAGAACGTGGAAAATAAATAATATAATATAAGGGTGGAAAGTAAATGTATAGTACACCACATAACGACTTATTGTGGTCGGATTGGAATTTTTTAAAAATGATTTTTGCTTTATTTTAATTTTCTAGAGTATCATTTAAACTGACAGATTTTGGGGCAGCTCGTGAATTAGAAGAAGAAGAAAATTTTACTTCAATGTATGGAACTGAGGAATATCTAGTAAGAATTTTACAACAAACTATTGACATTAAGAATAAACTTTTTTCAAGGACACTGTTTCTGTGGGTCGGGTATAGACTTTCCCTTTATAGTTGTGTCTTGTCGTGTCAGGTGGGATGAGATTTCATGTATAAATTTGTAAATGCACTTAAAAGTTCTCATAGCCATAGAAGAAGTGAAGAGAGAAAAGTTTCTGTCTTCAAAAATTCTCTCCAACTGCGTTGAACATATATAAGTTATATATGGTTATATGATATAACCATATAACATTATAAATGTATATGGCTATTCTGGTTAGATTCAATTAATCTTGAGGATGGCCAGTTTTTTATTTTAATGTTTATAAAATGAATTTTTAACTTTTTCAGTATCCAGCCATGTATGAAACCGCTGTTTTACATCTCCCAACAGGACAACAATTTGACGGAAGGGTTGACCTCTGGTCACTAGGCGTTACTTTTTATCATAGTGCAACTGGAAAACTTCCATTTTTACCTCATGGTGGAAGAAATAATAGAGAAACAATGTATGCTAATAATAATTATTTCACTAGAACTTATAGTAAAACCGCACTCTATACATATGCAGTGCAAATAATGATTGAAATACAAATATTTCCAAAATAAGTCATAAATTATCATTTCTATACGACCACATTTATATGTCCATCACACATATTATAAAATTATTATAGATAATAAGTATCCAGATATATTGAACAAAAAATTTATGGTTTTCCATTCTTTCATTTAAAGGCCAATTAAACATTTACGGTAATAATATATTCTGATTTTTATAGGTTTAAAATTATATCTCAAAAGGAAAGCGGAGTCATATCTGGAGTCCAACATTTTGAAGCAGGTCCCATACATTGGAGTCGTGAGCTGCCCCAGACTTGTCTTTTATCCGGGTAGGTAATTTACATCTCACTTATTACAGGTTATTGCAATCATTCTCACTTTATCATCCAGATTTGGTGGAAATTATGCCATCGGTTGATTTTGTATTACTAGCAGAAAACTAGCCTCTATTGGGAGTGCGATTACATGTCATTTCGGTCCCGCATCATTTCGGACTTACGTCATTTCGGACTTACGTCATATGTTCTCGACATTTCGGACTCGGGTAGGTGACGTTTCGGACTCGGTTAGATGACAATTCGGACTCGGGTAGGTGACGTTTCGTACTCGGGTATAGAATTATAAAACACTGACATCAATTTACTTTATAAACTATTTTATTTAGAAAAATTAACATAGCATAAAACTATAACAGCGATTTATAACAACAGTCATATTTATTTGATGAAATAATAGCCTCAGTCGGGTATTCATTTATTTTATAAAACATTCATTTATTGTATAAAACATACATAATCATACATTAACATATCATTTATAACAACGGACATATTCATTTGATGAAATAATAGCTTCAGTCAGGTATTCATTTATTTTATAAAACTTTTATTTTATTTTTCTTTATCAGTTTTCCATTTTTTTTTTCGGTGTTCCGATTATTTTAATTAATTTTTCACTTTCTTTAGTGGGCTACAAAAATTGCATCTCTGCCTCATCATATTTCATTTAACACCATATTTAGACCCTATCATGAACATCTATATTTACTGAAGACTAATGTTATTCCATCATTCGGTATTTGCATTCAACCACTTTTGTCTCAGGCTGGTATCAGTCAAGACAGTATTGCGAATACCCCTTTCTTTGAGACACCACCTTGGTCTATATCTCCTCCCAAGATCGATCTCGATCTTACGAAAAACAAAAAGAAAGATACTAGTTCCACAGTGTTTCAGGCTCTCTTCAGAGAGTTAAGGTCTAAATATGGTGATTATGCTCCAATTTATACAGATGATTCCAAAGATGGCGATCGGGTAGCTTCGGCTACTGTCACGCCATCTGACACCATTTCTGTTCGTCTTCCTCCTGCTGCTTCCATATTTACTGCTGAACTCCAGGCCACCTTTCAGGCTTTGGAGTATATCAAATCCTCTTCATCCTTAAAACACATTATATTTGCTGATTCTTTGTCCTCTTTACAGGTAATAAACAATAAGCAGCTTGTACACCCTTTAGTAGCAGACATTTATCGTCTGCTACTATCACACGAGTTTAACGGCAAGGACACCGTCCTTTGCTGGCTCCTCAGTCACGTTGATATTAAAGGGAATGATCAAGCAGACTTAGCTGCCAAGTCTACTTTAGATCTTCCCATATCAAAATTTCTTTTACCTTTTTACCGATTTTAAATCGTCCATTTAATTATTTATATATGACCGCTGGCAATGGTCTTGGGATCTTGCAGACACAAACAAACTTCATCACATTAAGCCTCTCTTAGGAGACTGGCCGAACTCCTATAGAATCAACAGGAAGGATGAGGTTGTTTTGTGTCGCTCTCGCATTGGTCATACTTTTTTAACTCATATTTTCATTTTGAAGCGAGAGCCTCAACCAGAATGTGTTCGCTGCCATGTTCCTTTGACAGTAAAACACATCTTGATTGAGTGCAAACATCTCAAGTATATGAGATCTAAAGACTACCGTTGCCAGTCATTACGTCAGCTATTTGCTCAACCGGAGCTATATGATAAAGTGCTAACATTTTTAAAAGAGACACTTTTATTCTCAATTTTAATTGTATATATTTAATCATGTATATCGTTTTAAATATTTATATATGTAAAAGATTTGTTATATTTATTTTTAATTATATATTTTCTGTGATATTTGTTTTTATTTACATATATAAATTCAATTATGTGATATTGTTTTAATTTGTCTCGTTAGATTCACCATATGTTTGGCGCAATATAGCCCGGTTGGAGCTGACGTGCCATTAAACAACATTTCATTTCATTTCATTTCTTTAGTGGGCAGGCGGGCCATACAAATGACTGATTTTAGGAAAAAAGTTTCTTTTCACTGTCAAATGATCACATCAATAAATAGCGTCGTTGGGCCAGTCTAAAAAAAAAAAGACAAGTTTTCCTAAATTTGCACTGGGCCTAATTCACTGGGCACCCAATTTGCCCGCGCCAAAATTTGATGGCCTAAAACATTCACAGGGTCATGCTGGTTAAATTGATTCTACATACGTGGGGGATGAGCGTGGCGACAAAGCATGATGGCCGAACATACATACATAAACACATACATACACACTTTGATTTTAGTTATATATAGTTATGGATCTATAAAAAAGATTTAAAGTTAGATTTAAAAAAAGTATCTAGTATAGAACTGATATTTAAAATTGATTGAATTTTAACCTTGTTTAAGAATATTTATTGATATAATGGAGATTTAAGATTTGCATAATTTTAAAAACCAATAGATTTCAATTAATTTTTATATCATTCTATTTTCAGAGGTTTAAAAAGTATCTTGATACCATTATTATCTGGCCTAATGGAAACTAATCAACATAAAATGCTTAGCCATGATCAGCTATTTGGTATTGTAAATAATATTTGCGGTAAAATAGCATTTAAAATTTTTCACTATGCTATGTGTACAGATTTACGTGTGTACGTAGATAAAAATGAATCGTAAGTGTGATATTTTTATACTTGTAGCCATTACTATATGTTAGTAGTTTGTGCTAGTTATAAAGCAAATCGTTGTATAGCAAATATTTTAGTTCTCACTTCAAAATTGTACCAGCTAGTCATTTCGTTTTGTATTTAATTTAACACAGATTAACCACATTTTTTTTTTAAGGAACAAGTGTTTTTGCCCATAAAAACTATTATTTTACTGTAGGTCCTATGCAAATTGTTGTGGTATAAGGTAAAATTCATTGAAATATATATTTTCATGGTATGCAATTAACTGACAGTTCAATTCTCTGACCTGTCAATTATGACTGACAAAATATGGCATGAGTAAGGGTTCTGTTAGATGTTCTCTTGACAGATTATTAAGCAGATAAAATGTGAATCTGAATCAAAACTTGTACACATAAACTCGTCTTGAATGACAAAATAAAAAAAATCTTTTTTTATTTTAAAAGAAGAGTTTATTTTCTTATCGTTTTCTTCTGTTTATGTTGTAATTGATTTTGCTTTTCAGATACTGTGTGCTTCAAGACTGTATTGCAGGACAAACAGATATACCAGCACACGAACAAGTTTTATTATTAGATACTGGTAGACCTTTAGAACATGAAATAGATATTACAGCCCCTATATCCACTTATTCTAAATCTATTTTGAATAGTCGTTTCTATATATATAATTGTACAGTCACAGAACCTCATGATCTCAAATTCCATGATATGCGTAAGTCTTACATTTATTTGTAATTGTAGTCACACGCAGTGAATAATAAAATCCAAGAAGTGATTTTTTATAATCTCACACAAATATACTTATGTTCACAGTCTTTTGATAAAAAGTTTGTAACTATTGTGAAATAAATATTTACTGAAGTCGTGAATAGCTGGGTAAGTATGTTAAAAGAAGCAATTTGAATTCTTGTTGAATTCTTTCGGGTATATTGTCTTTATATTCTGAGTTAGAATGAAAATGCACCACTTTTTGAAATGGACGATTGTGAATCTCATTTGAGAGATACAATTTAATCTTGCAATTTTGAATGTAAAAACAACAGGTTACAACGATAACATGTAACAACGATAATTCGACAGATAACATGTTGCAGACATGAGGTATAAAATGTGGCTTCTAAAAGCTAGGATCATAATTACAACCAGTTGAACTCCCTGTATGTTCCTGCTAGAGGTGGACACTTAACTGAATTGATTTTTACCCCTTATTCCTACAGTTCACTGTAAAGTAAAGTAGTTATGACCTTGTGTCGATAAATCTCCAGTCTAAAATCGTATTAAAAATTACATTTCAGTTGCATTATGTCTCGCCAGCACTTACAGTCAAATTAGTGGTGTGTTTTCATTGTGTCCCAGTATAGAAATAAAAATTTGATTTTTTTCCTTCTTATTTCAGCCACTTTTCCTGACTTTTCTGCAACTTATGTTGATTATGAACGAGATTCAAAATTAGCCTTTCAGTGTTGTTCCCGCACTAATTTTATTAAAAGAGTTATAGAAAATATTGTCACCAAACAAAAATGTTTAGTAGAAGGAGAAAATTGTTTAAGGTAAGAATAGATTATTGAATAAATTTATGGGTTTTTTTTTTGCTTACATACAGAATTTGATACATTCTTGTTGTTATGCTACTACTTACTAAAAATATATATCTATGAAATAAATAAATAATTGTCATTGCTGTAAAGACAATAGCTCAGGAGCAAAGATTTGATGGTGTGATTAATTGAAAGTAATTATTAAATGTCATCTATTTATCTTGGGAGTGAGGCCTCACTGTTGGTTTGTTTCCTTGATAGTAATAGCAGAAGAATATTTACATATGGATTTAAATTTTCGGGATCGAATTATCTAATTGTCCAGAAAGGAATAAACCTTCAAAATATTTACAAATGAATATAAATATTAGTTCAGTGTTCTTTAATTTTTGATTATCTACTAAATTTGTTTTTTTTAGGACTTTCATCACTTCTAAATCGGTTCTAACAGGGGAATCATTTCTCTGTATTGAAAGAGTTCTAAGAGAGTCAAAGAAAAGATTTAAATTGTTCTTTTCACTATTAGAAATAATCAGTGGCATATTGAAAACAACAGGACAATCTAGAGAATTAGATGAACTTTTATCAGATAAAACTTTGTTTACAGTGCATGAAAAGGTTTGTAGTTACAAATAACAGCATTTCAAGTGTGGTCTAAGGGGAGACAATATTGGTAAATGGAAGAGTAGTCTCCCTTTATTGGACAGTTCACACTTAAAATTGATTTGATGAAGTGCTGTATTAAATAAACATATAAATAAGACAACGAATAAATGAAATGAAATGGGGTTTAATTTCCTACTGTTCTGCTCCGACTTGGCTAATGAAGATGAACATACTCCATACAGTGTGCTATGAGGGAAATTCCCCCCCCCCCCCCAAGCGCTAGGGCCTCTCATATCGAATTCCAACTGTCAAGGGATCTTTAAGATGCACGCCAATGTATACATGGAACTCAGTTTTTCGTCCCATTCGAACGACTACACAGCTGTCCTTATCAGACCCTCCGTCCTGCACCACTTGCACCACTGACAAGGGAAAACCACGCCGGAATAGTGAGCCAGTGTCTAATCCACTTGGCCGCCATGGCTCTCACAATGAATAAAAAACCTATATAATTACTTAAGTTTACATAAGGTAAGGGAACACGGCTACACTGATTCAAGAATTGTTTCCATGGGAGAATTTATGACATTCTAGATAATTTTGTATGACACATTGTTCAATTAGAATGTAATGCATTAGAATCCAACCAATACCTGTGTATTTACCAATACAGATGCCCCAGTAAACCTCCAATAAAGTTGTGGTTCAGATTTGGATTCCAAACTACTAAATTTCACAGTGATTTCACAGAAATATTAGTTATGTGAAATTTAATCACTTGAAAGACAAACAATCTGATTAAAATGGCCTACACTACAAGAAGATTTGGCCGGTTGTAGCTGTAAGTCGGGTCAGAGGTAACAGGAGCAGCTTTTGACCCTATGACGTCAGACATTTGATTAACCAATCAGCATTGATTTTACTAGTGGATTACCCACAGTTCTGTGCAAAACACGCCTAAAGCTCTCCGTAACAGACCGTTTCATTGGCTATTCCCTCACATCATTCATAAAATGTGAATGATAACAACTCTTCCAGATCCTAGTGTAGTAAAGACAAGTAAAACAAAATTTTGAACTATAAAAACAAAATGAAATAGGATCTGTGTTTTAATCAGATTGAAAGACAAACCACATCATGTTTATTGTACATGTATTTATTATGCAGGCGGAAGAAAGGAAAAATGACATAGCAAAATATAAAGCTGTGTTTGTTGACAAGTTAGATGATCTTAGAATTAAAACGTCAACTTGGTATGCTGTTTGCGATGAAGAGTCTTGGTAAAATATAAATTATACTACAATATCTTTTTATTTCATCATTGGATAGTCTGATTCATGTATATCAGTAGCAACTTTATTTTGTTAATAGTCATTTATGGCTATAATGTGAATGTAGTGAGGAGACCACTACATCAGGTTTATTATGTAAATCAGCAATGATCAGTATCTACCAATGATATTCAGTGTTTAGTCATTGAATTAAACCAGTACGTCACAAATATAGCTTATCTAAATTAATTTTGGTTAATGCTTAACTATATATATATGATACTTTGTTGTTTTAAAATCAATTTCTGTACCCTTCCTAATTGCTTTATTATCATCTACATGTAGAATTAGCTTGGCATGTTTTTTTATTCTTCAAATTTTGAATTTTACATTATCATCCCACTGATGGAATTTATTGGTCAGTACTATAAATTCTGTATTTCCAAACATGTATTATAATTTCATTATTTGGAAACGCTCCATTTTTTTCTCAATCCTTTTGGGATATTTAATTATATTTGTTTAATGATATCAACTAATATTGAAAAAAAAATAGATAAACGAACAATCCAAAAATTTGTCATTTGAATGGAATCAAATAATAAAGCCAGCATTGAATGTGACATCTACCAGTAAGAATGTCATTGAGTCAACTGGCGTGGTTTTGATTCCCCTGTTGTACGTGACAAGTAGTAGGCCCGCCTGTCCAACCTCGTCGCTTTTCTCCGGGTCCTTCAGTTTCCTCCCACTGCTAAAAACTCTAACGCGCAATCAAATTATTGAAATAAAATAAAACCATATGTTAGTCCCGAAATGACCTAGTTAGTGTCGAGTGGATGTAAACCCCATTTTTCTCTCTATGATCAATATTTTGATTTACTATTAGAATAAAATATGTTAGTCTCGAAATGACCTAGTTTGTGTCAAGTGGACATTAAACCCCATTTCTCTCCCCCTTCTATTTATGATCAATATTTTAATTTACTATTGGAATAAGATAGTTCATCTAATATGAGATTGATAGAATGATACACAAATACCAAGACAAAGAAATAGATGTACAACTCATATTAAACTCTATTCCTCGTCCCAAAATGACCTAGTTGGGAGATGATTAAACACTTTCTCAGCATGAAAATAAACTTTCTCTAGGTTTAGGGCCCATCTACTGAGCTTGCCAGTTTTAATGACTTCTTACAGTTTAAACTAATGATACTCAGATTGAAATGAACGATATATTTCCCAAAAATTTAATTGATACCCATTTGTGTGAAACAATAATAGGTTTAATAGATATAGGAAGTAAAAACACCAGAGGTTATGTCTGTCACTGAACCAATGGAAAGAATGGCTTATAATTACTATCAACGGTAGTTATTGGTGTTACCATTGATTTGGGAATACATTCTTTTTAGAAAAATGACATTATCTTTTAAAGATAAAATAACCATCCTTGATATTTTTATTGCTCTTATAACTCAACCCAACTAATTTACTCAAATTTTGCAAAACTTATTGAAAAGAAATTTGTGATAAATTATTATATACTTTTAGAGACCTTTTAATGTTTTGCCATCACTAGATTGTGAATTATTATATTTTCCTGAAATTAAAACAAAATCCAGGGCATAGAAATTGGAGCTGAAATCAGTGAATATAAAGTTGAATTGGGTTGTAAAGTTTTTATTATTTACTATATATTTTAATATATCTTGCTTGATGAAAAGGTTGTATGTTGAGGGTGAAAGTTGTTTCATATTTCATCTTTACTTTAAAAACACATGTTCCAGTGTCTATATTTGAATATTCAATATTAAAGTACACAATAGAATTAAAGTACACAATAGAATTAAAGTACACAATAGAATTAAACTGCATAATAGAACACAATTTTTATGGGAAGCAATCACTAGTTTTATTTTAAAAGTACAACATTTCAATAAGTATCGTTTTGTCATTATGTTTCCCATACAAATTGTGTTCTGTTCGTATTGTGTTTCTCTTAAAGATTACAATAGAATTAAACTATGTGGTAAAACTAAGCTATACTACCTGATTTATTTAACTACTTGATAGAATTGAATTACACAATATAACTAAACAACATGATAGAAGTAAACTATGGTACATGATAGATGTAAACTATGAGGTAAAACTAAGCTTCACGATGGAACTAAACTGCATGATAGAATTAAGCAATGTGGTAAAACTAAGCTACATAAAACTGCATGACTATAAGCTACATGCTCGAACAAAACTAGATGAAAGAATTGAACTATGTGATAAAACTAAGCTGCATGCTAGAACTAAACTTCACAATGGAATTAAATTATGTGGTAAAAATCAAGCTACATGATAGAACTAAACTAATCTACACGATAGAATGAAACTACTAGACCAGATGATAGAACCTGAGGACTGGGCCCTTATTCACGAAAACTTAAACTAAGATACAATCGAAATTTTAAGAAATACTGCAATTCAATTGGCTGACCAATATGCAAATTGGATATATGCAAATTGATTTTACTGGTCAGCCAATCGAATTGCAGTATTTCTTAAAATTTCGATTGTATCTTAGTTTAAGTTTTCGTGAATAAGGGCCCTGGACAATAGAAATGAAAATGAAATGGGGTTTAACGTCCTACTCTTCTGCACCTAACCTGGGCTAATTGAAGACGGGCATACGCCATACAGTGTGCTATGAGGGAAATTTTGCCCGGGCAGCGGCGCTACGGCCTACTCTTATATCGAATTCCAACTGCCAAGGGATCTTTTACGTGCACACCAATGTGTACACGGGACCTCGGTTTTTCATCCCATCCGAACGACTAGGCAGCTGTCCTTGTCAGGCCCTCCGTTCTGCATCACTGACAAGTGGAAACCACGCTGGAAAATCGAGATGAACTTTCTCGGCCAATGCAGGAATCGAACACCTGACCTCCAGGCTAGCGAGCCAGCGCCTTACCCACTTAGCCACGTGATCCCTGGACAATAGAACTAAACTACGTGTACATTATAGAACCAAGCTACATGATAGAACCTTGCATAATATAACTAAACTACATAATTATGTCATAAAATTAATCTATGTGATAAAACTAAACTACATGTTAATATTAAATTAAATTATGTGATAGAATTTAACTGTTTGGAACATTTACACTTTAATTGATCATTCATCTCATATTTTCTTTCTTTTTCCCTGTGAAAATATTTAATAAAGAATCTGTTCTGATCTTTAAAGATACTATGCTAACTAAAGATATGTTATTGAAATTTTTCAATTAATATGTGATAATAATGGCTATTTATTTTCTAATTTAGAAGACATTGTTGTCTTTAGGTTGTTTATGAAATTGCTTTCTTTTTTTCTTGTGCATAGTATTTTAAAGAAAATATTGCATGTTTTCAGAATAGGTTTTCAAATAATATTTTTATTTTTACTACTTTACCTATCCTTTTACATTATCCATTATGAAAGTATGAATATTTATTAATTATTTTAGTATGAAAACAGTTAATCATTATTGTGAAAATATTACAACAACATTGGGTCGTTTTAGACGGGATAAAAACGTTAGAAGTCAAATGTCGACTCACGATGAAAAAATTCATCGTTTTGAAAGGTAAGACATGGTGAGAGGATCTTGCACAAAATATACAAAATAAACAAGGCAATAAAGTACAATCTATCGAAAGAAATCTGGTTATGGATTAATTGTTATATCGGATATAATACTCCCGGCTTCTAATTTACTGGAAAATTGTTATTGGAATAAAGGCACAGTTAGTCAGCAAAACATTCTTTGTTAACAGTTTTATTTGTACATTTCAGCTAATGAATTTCACATATTTAATTATGATTTTAAAACTTAATCAGAGGATTGACTGATCATGAACAGAACACAGGGCATGTAGAAGTGCTATACACACACTGTTTTGGCAGGTGGAAGCCTAGGGCCTCAAGATCTTGGAGGACTGTCATAAGCCTTTATACATGCACTGCAGTCTTAAACAATTGTCATCATCCTCAGCTTTGCTCAATTGTCTTCCTCTAGTCATGAGGCATACTAAACTTAGGCTGTCTGTCTTCAGTTAGCTCCGCTTGAGAACAGACACTAAGCTAGTTGACCGACATTTTAAGTCCTAAATGAACCATTTTAGTCGAGCGCTAAGTGTACTTCGAGAATTTTGTTAAGTAGTTATTCTGCTTCCATTTAATAAAATTGAAAAAGGTTATTTAGTCTTTGTGTGTATGACAGATGTGAAATGGTGTAGAAACGTATTACAAAACAGCATACTTGTTTTTGGATATGACAGTCTTTTAGGGTAGAGATCTATTCTTGAATTATGAAGTAGATATATCTCAGAGTGCAGAATGGTCATGAGGGTGAGAGGCCTCATATTCCTAGGGCCTGTCGTCAATTAAATCTGACACTGACTGTACACCAGTGAATGGTTAACTGATTGTATTATCTTTAGTTGCTTGATTGTCTATAACCAGATTTCAGTTAAAAGATAGATTAGAAAATTGTTATTTTGTATATTTTACATCCTATGACACCCCGCTATAGGATTATAATAATATTAATAGACATTACATTAGCAATTAACTAGGAGTTAAACAGGAGAGTAGATAATACAAATTAACTGAAATAAACATTAATTTATCTGTATACTACTGTATTTTTTTTCATCAGAAACAAAGTTAAATTCATTATAATAAAATATTTAAGAAATTGATGTTTCTACTCCCTTGTTCTTACTCCCAGTTAGTAATATTTATTATCTTTCATAAACCTTTTTGCTCCAAAAACATCAAACTTGTAGATATACTTTTAGTTTTGACATGGATGCAAACTGGTAGAAAATGACTTTTTATTTTGCATGTAGTTCATCAATGATCGCTTTTAATAGCTTATTATTTAATCACTCGCTTGCTAACCACTTCACCACATTGTTAGAAATCCATCATAACAAGCACGCTCATCTCCCGCCACCCCTCTCTTATTTACAAATTTATCTTATTTTGACATTAGTCAGATATTATATCCAAATCCATAATCATGTATCGGTATTTACTTGGTGGTAAATGTAATGTTTATGTCTCTCATACTTCTACCATGGATAGTTATATGTTTAAATAATGAACATTTTCAATGACATTTAGTAATTGAATTGGATAAAACAGGACACGATTCTATGCAATACAATTACTGCTGAAATGTGGAGTATGAAAAATATGAAAATGTCCAGTACAATTACTACTGAAATGTAAAATGTAAAAAATATGAAATAGAGGTTAATTAAGGAGGCATCATTCAAGAGCTAAATCTACCTATTATTGCATATTTATTTTTTAAATCTTAAATGCTATAGAAACTATTAATTAGACATATATTAGTGTGATAAGACCACAATGATTTATCTAGGCCATCTGATGGCTCTGATTAGAATGGTTACGATAATAAACAATCAATGCACACATCTTGTCAAAACTACAAACATTGATAACTTCGCTCAGAATAAAGTAATTTGAATGAAATTTTCAATATATTCATTTTGCATTATCTATTTTTGAACTATTATAGCCAGCTCTTTATCTAAATTTTACATATGCTTCGTTAAATACAATGTTTTGAGAAAATGCACTTCTGGTGAAAAAAAACCTGCACTTAGTGCACAAAAATAGAGACAATAATTACTACTTGTACCTGAGAGATGTTTTGACATTCATTTGCTTTATAAAGAATAATATGTTGAATCAACAGCTGGGCTGTTCATCTGAGATTAAGCTTTTTGCCATATCAAAACTACAAATCATTTATATATGTTTAAATTCCCCTCAGTTTCTAATATGATTGACACTAAGTTTCCTTATATGTTTTTTTGTGGTAGTTTATTAATAATATTAGACATGGATATAGAGCATTATAAAAAGATTATTATTAGTGTTAGTATTATTATTATTATTTTATTTATATCTCTTCTGACACTACTGTAATTGAAAAATTGAACAGTGTTATTGAACATGTGACAAATAATTAGATTTTTGTGAAATTGCTATAAGATTTTTGTGAAATTGCTCTATAGCGTGTATAATCCAACTGGATTAACGCACCTGTAACTTTTATGGTCCTTTGTTTTCTGCTTTCAATATAGCTTTTTATCTGATAATTGCTTATTGAAACATTGATTTTTTTTTTTTCAACATGAGATTTATCTTGGGCTATATTCGTGTTCGTTTTTATAGATTTTAATGATTTACCTTTAACACTTTTAATCAAAAGAATATCAAAATAATCTTTTTTTTAGAGTCATATCTTCAATTCTGATACACCAAATTCAAATTAAACTTCATTTCTTGCTAATTACATAATTATGTTGGTAACATTTTGAATCGCTTTCTGATATTCTGCACATCTGTTAAATCGTTTTCTATTTTCCGAACACCTTTTGAATCGGTTTCCGATATTTAACACATTGTTCCCCTTCCTCACAAATAAATTTAATAAACAAAAAAAGATGGATTAATTTTTTAAATAATTTAATTGTGAGTTTAGTATGACAACACTACATTAGCGAACTATATATTTTCCCTATTAACATCTCCCGAATAACAGATCATTTCCCCGCTCCAGGGCTTATTCAACTGTATTATATCCATTGCATGAAAACTATGATAAATTATATTAACAGCAGTTTTCAACAATAGTTACATTGAATATAATTTGGAAGAAAAATATATTCTGTATTGCAGAGATAAACTACTGTCTGTGTGTACCAGGAATTTTAAACTTCTTAATGACCATTGTTGTACAAATCTACAAAAGTTGTTTCGAGAGGCAATTCCAAATTTATTGTGAGTCTATTTTTTCATATTTTTCTCTTTTCTCTCAATGAAGATTTTACTTATACAGAGAAATCAAAGTAATATGTAAAATAAAGGACTGCATATATGGCAGACATGGAACCCATTCCTCCATATTTTATTATTTAAATCTGAAAAGTGAAAAATGAGTAGGTTCTATCAAGTTTAGAAGTCATAATTACTCAAATATATAAATTCGGAAATGGTATTACGATTAAGAAAGAAACTTAAATTCACCCTAAATATTATCATGTATTATACATATATTTGTAATATGGTTCTTATTTGTGATTATATTTGATTGTATTTTAGTTCGCTGGTTAAAGCACATGGTCGAATTGTAAAGATAGAGAGAAATATTGAAAGTGTCATGGATTGTCAGCAGTTATTGGGGTCAAGGTTGGATAAGGTCAGAATATTTTTTATTCCCCTATACTTCTGTACATTCCTGAGAACTTAAAACTTGCAAGTGGTCCACTCGTATCTGAGATTTGGTCATTCATCTCTAATATTTATTAACTGTACCCTATATCTGCATTTTCTGTTATACTGAAGCAAGCTGATCGTGTAGGAAATTGATCTCCTCTATTTACCTACCATTGACTTGTATCGGTTTGTCTTTGACACATGGATCAAATCCAAAGTACAGTAATGTGCATTACCAAGCTATATTTCCAATAGACAGGTCAAAACATTTGGATGTAATGGAAGAAAACAATTTCTTCGCAAAGGTTACATAGTTACATAATAATGGAGGTCATCTTTATGATTGAATAATGTGTAGTCGATTCAGTTTGTTACTATTTTTGAAATATGTTATTTTTTATAACTTCAGCTAATCGAGAAAGCCGAACATATTTTAAAGAGGATCCAACCTACGGTTAGTTATTCTACTCCAGTACAGCCATATACAGCTGCTCATTATAGTAGAGACGAAGGAATAGGTGAATCTTGTGGTGCAGCAAACCCATCAGTAAATCAAGGAAATCAAATAGTAAATGAATGGTAAGTTTACTCTAATTGTATTCAGACATCATTGTACACATGCCTAGCAATGAAAAATCATCTAGTTGTTTCGATGGGACAAATAACAAGATCCTGTATTGCCCTTCCCTTCCCCCTGGCATTCTCTTCATCCTGTCATCACATTTTCTTGCAAACACTCTACAAACTACATTGATCATCCAATCTTTTTAAAATCTGATAACTACCAGAGTTATTGCCCTTCAATTTATATGATCAGATTAGTGAGACACTAATTTCAATCATTTCCGTTAATTATTTCTAGAGTTATGGCCCTTGTAAATCTTGTGAACAATTTATTGACAAAAGTTATTGTGTGGTCTGCTTGAAATTCGTATGCATTCTTTAAAGGAGCTAAGTTGCTAATATTTGGGACCTAGAAATTGACACAAATGGGTTGCAAAGCATACAATAATGAAATATGAATGTATATAAATTGATTTACGTTCAATCGTTTCTGTTTTTACTGTAATTTCTAATCAGTTAGGTTCGGCGAAATACGCCAGTATTCTCAATCGAATTTCAATCTCTAGCGACTGGTTATTCCAGCCTACGCCGATAGTATTTATTGGGCATGCTCTCCAGATAAGAATATAGTGTCACCGTTTGACATGACTTGTGGAATATGCCTAGCCTCGTTTTGCGAGTCCCTTATTACAAATAGCGCTAAAAAGTATTATGGTACACGATTCGTGTACCAGTTGTAAAATGTTTATTTTGTCTTAAATATTGCATATCAGAAGGCCATCTTTTCCCGGTAAGATCACAACATCAATGTTGATTTAAACCGACAAATAAATCGTGTTTTTAATGTCGAAGATTTTGGATGATATTGAGTTAGAGACTTAGCTACTTTAAATTAGTAAAATAAAGAATTTCAACAATTGCTATTAATTACTCTAACAACAAATATTATATTTATATATCTTCCAGTCTACTTGAAATGGTAAAACCTGTTGGATTTCAACAATTGCCATTAATTATTGCCATTGCTCACCTTGAAGTTAAATCTGATCTATTTGAAATATAAATGCAATGTTTAGACTAGTGAAAAAAAAAATCCTACTCAATAGGTGTATTTTGACTTCTGCTACCAAGTCTAATTTCTACCTTTTACTTGTAAGAATCAATTTAATTTCAGCATAGCAGAAATGACACAAGATACAAGGGATATGGAACATATGGCAGAACAAACGTCTTCTATTTTAACAAGGTTTGTTAGATTATTATAAAGTAAATTGGTTCATGATGAAATACAATGAATAACAGAAGAAAAAAACACATGAAGTGGCATGATGCTTTTCATTTTAATCACTTACTTGCATTGACTTCCCGATTGTCAAAAAAGGTCAAGAAAAGTAGTTCAAGATGATGAAAATAAGTAACTAATACTGTTCGTGACAAGCTTTCTTATGTTTTTAGTACCTTGTTGGATGAAAAGTTAGCTGTGAATGATGATTAACGAATGAAATATCATATTACTATAATCATTTACTAATCAAATTAATCAATATATATTATTATTATTTACCAATAATCTTTTTATATGTTATTTATCTCTTTTTCAGATTTTCAACCCTTCTTCAAGAATCCTTATTTAGTGATGGATCAATAGGAAATTTTTTAGATGTAACACATACAACTAATAGTTAATATTTAATTTATTATCTTACTTTTGCAACAGTTAAATTCTATAAACTTGTATCAATTCAGCACTTAGATTATAACATATATATATATATATATATATTTGCTATCAATATACAAATAAAAACCAAAAACAAATCAGATATTTGAAACTAATTATCCAGCAATATCAACCTTCAGCTTTTTTTATGTAGAAATCTTTAATTGCAAATAGAGCAAATGTGGGAAAACAAATACTTTGTTCAGGTATTGTTGGGGGCGGGGGGATAGATGGCCGAATGGTTAGTGCATGCTCGATGTATCATAAGGTCTGTCATTGAGTCAACTGGCGTGCTTCGATTCCCCGGTTGTACGTGACAAGGAGTAGAGTCACCTGTCCAACCTCGTGGGGTTTTTTCCTGGTCCTCCGGTTTCCTCTCACTGCTAAAGACCCCTATGCACAATCGAAATATTGAAATAAAACTGAACCATATATTAGTCCCGAAATTATGTTAGACAACCTCTCTTTCTCTCATGTATCAGTGTAGATTATGTACATTGACATTTGTTTTATAGTTATAGCAATAATTTCACTTGCCTTTTCAAACATTACATGTCTAGTAAAAGAATGTATTTATATCTATGACAGGAATATCTGTTAGAATTCTAGATATTATTGAAGATGCAGTGTTTCCTGACATGGCTATAAACGTATGGTTTTTACTAGAATTAAGATCGGTTGCTAAACAGAAATAGACAGATTTTGACATTTACAAGGCTTATATATTGAGTGTGAAACCTTTTGTTACCTGGATGGTCAATTTTTAGATTTGACTCAAGTTTCTAAGTTTCAATTTAGGGGTATTTAACAGTGGGAGGGAACCGGAGGACCTGGAGAAAACTCACAAAGTTGGACAGGCGATCCTACTCCTTATCCGTACAACCGGGGAATCAAAACCACGCCAGTTGACTCAATGACAAACCTTATGATACAACGTGCACATGCTAACCATTCGGCCATCCAACCCCTCTAAACACACATCTTTTACAATGTTTAATTATTAAAGTTAACTTGGTTTTGAAAACATATATTTATTTTTAATATTATCTGTCTAGTTCTCCATTTGGAAATACAGTTTTCATTACTCACTGTATAACTCTGTATTTTTGTTCTGTGTGTTGAGTTTGTATATGCTTGCATCTGTTAGCCAGTGAATAACAACATATCGATTAACCAAAGAAGAGGTTGTGATGTGGAATTAAGAAGCTTCAAACCATAAATTGAAATTGGTTTTCTGCATGTATGCAGTGACCAACTCAATCAATCAATCAACACAGAAGTTGCATAGCGAAACAATATTTTGATAAAGTTCTTAATGGGCTTTGAAGTTTATGTTGATTCTTTTATAGTTTAGGGGATAACGTGGCTAAGTGTGGGTAAGACGCTGGCTCGCTAGCCTGGAGGTTGGATGTTCAATCCCTGCATTGGCCGAAAAAGTTCATCCAGATTTTCCGGTGTGGTTTCCCCTTGTCAGTGATGCAGGACGGAGGGCCTGACAAGGACAGCTCTCTAGTCGTTCGGATGGGACGAAATACCGAGGCCCCGTGTACATATTGGCGTACACCTAAAAGATCCCTTGGCAGTTGAAATTCGATATAAGAGTAGGCCGTAGCGCCGCTGCCCGGGCAAAATTTCCCTCATAGCACACTGTTTGGCGTATGGCCGTTCTCATTAGCCCAGTTTAGGAGCAGAACAGTAGGACGTTAAATTTCATTTCATTTCTTTTATAGTTTACTTTTGTCTAATAGGCGTGTCTTCAAACATGATGTGAAGATGTATAGAGAAAGGGTGCTACAAAGGGGAAAAAACATTTTGTCTGTTGGAGTTTGACGGTAGGAATAACTAATGATGACTTATTCTGTGATCTTAAAGGCTCAATACCACTTTTGTTGTAACTGAATAATATGTCCAAATCTTTATTCTGGTCAACAAATTGTACTATATTACAATATTCCAATTAATTGATGATACAAATTTCATCTTAACACACCTAATTTAAAAAATTGGAAAAATTCAACTAAATGATTTGAAAAGCCTGACGTAAAGCTTTTCAAATGTGACTTGGATTTAAAAATATTTTTGAACCCTCTTGACAAGTAAAATAGGATTTAATGGATAATTTACACAACAGGTAGACACTAAGGCTACACAAAATAAATGTCTTGTTTCTCGGGCAACTGACAGCTGAAACTGTAGGGGGGGGGGGGAGGGCGGTTTTTTTTTGTTTTTTTTTATATCTCATTTATGGCTAGAGGATGGTGCAAAATAAAATTTGCCTATTGTTGAAAATTGTTTGGGCGGGAGGGCGGCCTTGTATTTTTTTTTTTTAATGAGAAAGTCATTACTTGTCTACGGTTTTGCTTTCAATTATATATTATACATACTTAGAACATAAACCCAAAAATCAAGTCTACTCAAACACTGAACACTGACTGAAAGGAAAATAATTTTCCATATTTAATTCACGTAATGTAGCTGAAATTGGTTCAAAATAAAATTCCGTACGACTATTAATAGCCGTCCATAATAACGACAATATTTTAAAGAGTAAACCTCTGTCAGCATGTGTATCAAAAATAATCATCACGGTAAACGACACTGCGATCTAAATCTAGTATCGCTGGTTTATAATGATTGACCTAATTCCAACCAATGTCACGTGTCATCGGGATATTACTGTTTCTCAGGTTATTCGGTGTGTTTCTCAGGATATTCGGTGTTCTATCTGGGGTTTATATCGAATGACTATTTAAATTTAACTAACAACTCGTCAGTAAAACCATCAAATGTGTAATCCAATTATTATTTTCCGGATTATCAAAACTACCGTTAAATGTGCTAATGACCCAGATTCTGACTAAGGTATGGTGACTATCATCGTATCGTATTCGTAGCCACAAGTTATAATAATTAACCTGTTCTACGATTCATTGTTTTATAAGTAGGATTTTTTCAAACATGGACCGACTGAAGCCGGCAATAATGAGCCGATTAAGATCGAATGATTGAAATATACTATTCAAAAAAAGTAGGGGATATTTGATTTTTAAGTGTTATTAAAGTCACCTAATGAAACTGACGAAGAAACAAATGACAAAATGAAATGAAGTTCACATTCATCGATAAATTTATTCCAAATGATCGTTAGACTAAGTAAGGCACAGACTGACCATTATAAGGGTAAAATGATACCCGGGGTCAAACAGCAAAGTTACCACAGCATCACAACCAAGACAGTAACGGGTAAATCCTCCTCTGTTTGCCAAACAAGCATTGATCCGACGTGGCATACTCCTAATAAGAAGTCTAAGGTCATTTTGGTCCAGATTGTCCCATTCCTGTTGCAACGCAGCAGCAAGTTCTTGGACATTGGCAGGACGTTGTTGTCCCAGACATGCTCGATGGGGGAGAGGTCGGGACTCAGTGCCGGCCAACGTAATGTGGTGATGTTCTGTTGTTGGAGGTAACCTGTAACGATCCTGGCCCTGTGACATCTTGCGTTGTCATCCTGGAAGATGAAACGGCGGCCATGACGTCGTGCGAACGGCACAACATGGACTGCCAAGATGTTGTCCCGGTAGTACTGGCCTGTAACACGCCCTGCAACAACATGTAAAGCCGTTCTTCCAGCAACAGTGATGCCTCCCCCACACCATAACAGAACCACTCCCAAATCGATCATGTCTGATGACGTTAACGTCTTGGAAGCGCTCGTTTCGACGACGCCACACCCTCCTACGTCTGTCCAAAAAATCAACAGTGAACCTTGACTCATCTGAAAACATCACATTGCTCCAGCGTCGATTATCCCAGTGTTGACGATCCCTACACCAACGACGTCTTGCCTGAATGTGATGATCTCTCAAACAAGGGATCACGCGAGGACGTCGGGCGCGAAGGTGACCCCTATGCAGTCGATTCCGAATCGTCTGGCCACTCACTCTCACACCAGTGTCTGTTTGAAGACGAGCGCTGATCTGATTTGCTGTGTTGACACGATTTCTCAAGGCCAAGGTACGGATAAATCGATCCTGGGCTTGAGTTGTCGCCCTTGGTCGACCATAGCGTGGTCTGTCCTGTACAGATTGTGTATCACGGTATCTGGACCATAGCCTGCTTATGACAGACTGAGAAACATTCATCGTCCGCGCCACAACCGCCTGTGTTGTGCCGATCTGTAGCATGCCAAGGGCACGTAACCTTTCATTTTGGGTAAGCCGACGCATATCAAAATTTGTTTTCTGGTCACTAAAACAATTAAACTGATGTTTTCACCCTGGAATTCAATGCCACAATGACTGTAACATTCAAAGTCAGAGTCGTGCAAATCTTGGGTTAGACCCCCATGATGATCCCAAGCATCACCTGCATTCCATGCGGTAGCTATTGGTGCGTTTGGGCGTCACATGTAACTGGAAATGTTTCTTCTGTTAGGTTCTATAGTGACTTTTTTCGTAGTCATTTGCATATTTTAGTATTATGCCCCCAAAATCAAATATCCCCTACTTTTTTTGAATAGTATACATTGCATTGTTGTCAATGACTTTCGATGTTTAACACGAATCAAATTCTAGTTCACAAGGGGAGGTAATTAAAATCACGTGATACAAAAATGGAGATTCTTTCGATATCAATAAAAAAAAAGACCCGTAAATGAGCGTTTACATCTGAATCAGTTTAATACATTTGAATGGATATTCACGTATGGGGCATGTAGATACATGCGGCATATGTTTTTTATGACTTGCTTATCGATGTTCGGGCGGGCGTTACATATTTTTTATTTTTCATCAAGACTAATAAATAGGCCGCACGCGCAACCAATTTTGCGTGCGGGCGGTGCCCGAGAAACAACTTATTTTATTTGTGTTGCCTAATACATCTAGCACTTAGAATAAGGCTATTTTTTATTTTCTGGAGCTGTCAAACCAGCAAGAGTGTTATTGTCCCTTTAAGGTCTTACCTACTGGATCCATATGGAGTGAGTAGATCTTGAATACATTGTGGCGCTTGATTATAATCAAGGGTGCTTTTAAAGTCAGTAATGGTATTTTGAAGGAGATTTGCTGATTTAAGGGCAACCAATGGAGGGTTCTTAATGGTGATCCCTTTTCATGGTTCCGGTGATGATTCGAGCTGAAGCATCCTGAACATACTGAAGCTTCTGCAACTGCCACTGTGGTAGACCATATAACAAAGCATTATGGTAATCCGGTCTTGAAGACATCAAAGCATCAACGAGGAGTTTTAGATTTTCACAGGCTAAGCACTTCTTTATTTTTGCTAGTTTGTAAATCTTGTAAAAAGCTGAAGAACAGATAGTTTTGATGTAGGTCTCAAAAGATAGTGTGGAATCAATGTTCTTTTGCCTTGTTTGTTGGTTGAATTAACTCCCCAGCAATCGAAAGGCTACTTATTTTGCCTTTGTTGAGTTGTTGTTTGGTATCGATGTGAAGAACTTCAGTCTTGTGTGGATTTAATTTTAACAAATGAAGAGTCATCCAGTTGTGAATTTCGTCTAAACAGCCCTGAACTGCTGTTTCTGATGAATGATCAAGGCTGGTGTATAACTGTGTATCATCTGCGAACAACTTCACACTAAGTCCATAGTTCTAGGCTATTACATTAAGTAATCTTGTGAATATTATAAATAAGACGAGCCCCAGGACTGATCCCTGAGGCACTCCACAGAGCATTGAAACAAAGTATGAATAAGCTCCATTAAAGCACACAGCTTGTTTTCTGTTGGTTAAGTAGGATCGGAACCAGTTGAACACATTGTTGTGAAAACCAACTTCAACCCATAGTGTGTCTAAGAGATCCTCGATGTCCAAGGTATCAAATGCAGCGGATATGAATAGGTCAAGTAGTATTAGCAATACGCTCTGTGGTTGATCAATGCACCTGTGGATATCATCCTCAAATTTTATAATGACAACTTCCCTATTATGGAATTGTTAGTAAGCCGGTTGAAGACGATTATCAAGAGCACTATGGTTAATATGCATGTTAAGATGTTGCGACACGCATGGGCGTCACACATGGGGGGGGGGGGTCTTTTCTCAATATACTTGGACCCCCAAAACATTTACATAGTAGACCCCAACTTCCCGTCTTCATTAGCCCAGCATTGGAGCAGAACAGTAGGACGTTAAACCCCATTTCATTTCATTTCCTATTTATTTACAACAATTATTAAAACCTGTACATATCCCAATATGCATACGGTACCCCCTGACTTAAACATGATAAACATTGCATTGGTGTGATGTTTTAGTTTAACCCCGTAAAATATGCCAAAACAGTGTTTACAGAAGAATTAGTGTTACATTTATTATATTGTGATTGTAATTTTATTATATTGTGATTTTATTAATAATATTCTTTTGTAAATATTTCTCTAGTATCTTCAAATTTTATTGTCAACTTCTTTTTAACGTCTGTATTTCTTTTTATAAGGGGCAAAATGTAAGATAGGTCTCCTTGCCTAACTTTCGACCCGACGCGATGTTCACGATTTACGTAATTTCTATGGGCTTTTATTTTAATACGACAGCAGGTTAGATTCGATTAGCTATTCTCCATATGTGGTTGGCTTTATTTTTCAAGATCAAATTAATCTATTTAACACCGCGTGTGACCGTAATAGAGGTATAACGACTTTGTTCCAGAAAATTCTTCTGACACGTGGACAATCAACTGAACAATGAACCGCTTCTCGTTATCGATTAGATTCCACATACTAATGAACTTTTGTTCTACTACTACATTCACCATTAATTATCAACCCAACACCCAGTATAATCCTCTGTTGACAACTACGTATACAATTCTATAACACCAATCATGAAATAATGTAGCTTCTATACGTGTGCAATGTTATTTTTCCTGCGTGCAAATTGACCGATGGGTCAGATCTGGTTTCGGTCATAGCTCAAGGCCGTCATATTATACGGCCGACATGGGACCTATACCGTATACATATAAAGAGAATTCTCTTCTACGGTTTCATATTTGGCTTATGATCTGATCTGGCTGCAATGATTTCTTTTAAAGTCATTAAATAAATGAACGAAATCGGTTCAGTGGTTCTCGAGAAAAATGCAATCTTATACAAAACTGCCTAACTTTGAAATTGCGACACATTTGACGTTGCCGGTAAACGGGTGCATCAAATTTGTAAACCTTTAAAGTTATTACATGGTCCATTCCCCCAAGACGACACGGAGAATAGTTGCACAACTTGAAAAACTCTAGCTGGTTCTGTGATACAATTCAGGATACCACGAAAGTCAGGAGAAATATACATAAAATCAAAATAGTGTGCAAATTAGAGATGACATCTTCCTTCACAAAGACCCCACTTATTTACCAAACCAAGTGTCCTTACAATGTTCCTACTCTACATCTGCAGAATTTACACCACACAGCTTAGAGGAACTTAAAACTGTGGTGCTTAAAACCAAGACGAAATCCACCATGGATTCTAAAAGACAACCTGTGTGCTTTTCTACCAATCCTTTAAATTGTTTCAACAAGTCATTTCTAGACGATGTCTTTTCAAGTGCCCCGATTGGCCCTAAAGCAAGACATAATGACACCTCTAATTAAGAAACCACCCTTAGATCTCAATCTGCTAAAGAGCTACAGTCCTGTGAGTAACCCGAGCTACATGTCAACTCATTGAGAAATGCGTGTCGCCAGGGCGTAGTCGTGAAATATATATTTGGGTTGGGGGGGGGGGGGGGGTCCGCAAATGAAATTATATAAAATGTTGACAATCTGTGACCCCGCCGATAATTACACAAGATCAAAAATGTGCCCCTTTAATGTATGCTTTTATTATCAGATTACTGTAGGCCTACCCCTTTTCTATTTTGTGATTTTGACAAGATTGATAGCCTATAAATTAGACATTGTTTTTTGGTGGACGTGATCAGGCTTTTAAAGGGACAATAACACTCTTGCTGGCTTGAAAGCCCCAGAAAATAAAAAATATCTTTATCTAAGTACTAGATGTTTAAGTGTCCTACCTGTTGTGTAAATTATCCATTACATCCTATTTTACTTGTCCAGAGGGTTCGAAAATATTTTTAAATCGAAGTTTCATTTGAAAAGGTTTACGTTAGACGTTTCAAACCATTATGTTGAATTTTTCAAAATTTTTAAATAAGGTGTGTTAAGATGAAATTTGTATCATCAATTAATTGAAATATTCTAAAATAGTACAATTTGTTGACCAGAATAAAGATTGGGACATATTATTCAGTTACAACAAGAGTGGTATTGAGCCTTTAACTTCAGTATTTAAAACACTGAATTTTTATATGTTTTCGATCCAGGCGGACTTTATTGCTCCAGAAGGTTTTAACGCATATTAAAATCATTTTATGTTATGTACACGATTTGGCTTCCATACTTTTCATTTTTTGTCCGGTCATGTACTCGACCTTGCGTGTAAAGTTGTCCTTGACCTTATATTGCACGTATGCTGGTAAACTCGTGTCAAATGGATTGTTTCGGATGTTGATCTGGTGTCTTCAAAGATAAGCTTTATTTTTTGGTGAATAGGTGTATTTCTTACACCGATATCATGGATTCTGGAGATGCCATGAAAATTGAAGTTCCGGAAATCCAGAATTTGTTCAAAATAGACGGCTATCTAACAACACATGAACGTGAAATACGCAGACGTTATGGGTGCTTTAAAGATCTTGTAAAGAGAATTGAAACGACCGAAGGAAGTTTACAAAACTTTGCAGAAGGTTATAAAATTTATGGCGTACATCGCTTGGCAGACAACAGTATTAGTTGTGTCGAGTGGGCACCAGGGGCAGATGGTATCTATTTGAAAGGAGAATTCAATGATTGGAAAATTGAAGAGAGATACAGCTTCGAGAGATTAGATTTTGGAAAATGGAAGTTGACCATTCCAGCAAATTCTGATGGATCCTGTCCAATAAAACACTGCACCAAATTAAAATTGTGCATTAGAACAAAGTCTGGAGATTTGGTGGAGAGAATTTGTCCGTGGGCTGTGCATGTCAATCGCCCTAAAGATGTTCCCATTTATGAACAATTATTCTGGGATCCCCCGGCTGACCAAATTTATAAATTCAAACATCCAAGACCCTCTAAGCCATCCTGTCTTAGAATATATGAATGTCATGTTGGTATTGCTTCGTGGGAGGGAAAAGTAGCAACTTATAAAGAGTTTACTCAAAATGTAATTCCTAGAATTAAAAATCTTGGTTATAATGCTATTCAACTGATGGCCATTATGGAACATGCTTACTATGCCAGTTTTGGGTATCAAATTACAAGTTTTTTCGCAGCTTCAAGTCGCTATGGTAGTCCAGAGGATTTGAAGGAATTGGTTGATACTGCACATGCTAGTGGCCTTGTCGTGTTACTGGATGTCGTTCATAGTCACGCCTCAAAAAACGTTGTCGATGGATTGAATCAATTTGATGGTACCGATTCCTGCTTCTTTCATGGTGGAGGGCGTGGAACTCATAATCTGTGGGATTCCAGATTATTCAATTATACAGAGTGGGAAGTTTTACGATTCCTGTTATCAAATCTAAGATGGTGGATGGACATTTATCAGTTTGATGGATTTCGTTTTGATGGCGTTACATCTATGATTTATCATACACATGGTATGGGTCATGGATTTACGGGCGATTACAATGAATATTTTGGGTTGAATACAGATACTGAATCTTTGTGTTATCTAACTGTTGCAAATTATTTTCTACAGTCATCTTATCCATCGGTTATTACTATCGCAGAAGAAGTATCAGGGATGCCCGCCTTGTGTCGTCCAATCAGTGAAGGAGGTAATGGTTTTGATTACCGGTTGGCTATGGGTCTACCAGATATGTGGATTAAACTCTTGAAGGAAGAGACAGATGATAATTGGAATATGGCAAAGATAATACATACTTTGACAAATAGACGTTATGGAGAGAAATGTATTGCCTACACTGAAAGTCATGATCAGGCTCTTGTCGGGGACAAAACTCTTGCATTTTGGTTGATGGATAAGGATATGTACACCCACATGTCACTGTTAGCAGGCGATAACATCGTAATAGATAGAGGAATGGCTTTACATAAAATGCTGCGATTAATTACAATTGGCTTAGGAGGAGAGGGCTATCTTAATTTCATTGGCAATGAATTTGGTCATCCTGAATGGCTGGATTTCCCCCGGGTAGGAAATAATGAAAGCTTCCATTACTGCAGACGTCAGTTTAACCTTGTTGATGACGAAAACTTGAAATACAAATTCTTAAATAATTTTGACAGAGGAATGATGCATTTGGAGGAGCAATATGGCTGGTTGGCTCACCCTCAGAATTATGTGAGCTGTAAACACCAAGGGGATAAAGTTGTTGTGTTTGAGAGAGCAAACAAGTTGATTTTCATTTTCAACTTCCATCCATCTCAAAGTTTTACTGACTATAAAATAGGAGTGAACATTCCTGGTAAATATAAAATTGTCTTGGATAGTGATTCCGAAGAATATGGAGGTCACAAAAGATTGGATCATAGTACCGAGTTTCTGACATTCAATGAACCATGGCATGATAGAGCTCACCATACCTTTGTTTATATACCAAGTCGAATGGCAATAATATTAGCTAAGGTGGATTAATGATTGACAGTATAGGGTTTTAGTTCATAAATGATACTGTATGGTTTATTTTAAATGGATTGACTATATCAATATAATAAATATATCTAAATATTTAATGGAAATTGGAATGTGATATGAAATAATAGGAGAGTTCTTTTACCGGTGAACATGTGAATTGATTTTACATAGACCACCTTCTCCACAAATTAGTTAAATTTGATTACACATGTGGCCATGGTATTGATAGTTCTGGTAGTATTGCTGGCTTCTAAAAGTTGATTCACCATTTCGAGTAGCTGTATTCATATTCTATAAAATTAGAAACAGCCCATCTTCTTTATTTTCATTAGACTTGTCATATATATGCTTTTAAAAGCACAATGTACGCTTTTCAATTAAATAATTCATTCTCTGTTGATCTGATCAGGTTTTACATAATTATGATAAATTGATGCCATAAATATGATAATTTGCAATATAAGTAAATGTACATGTTATGTAAAGTGTAATAATCTATATATTGAATATACATACATGTACTAACAGTATTATAAAGTGCTAAATTATAACCAAAACTGTGTATTAAAAATATTGTTGAAGTGCTTCTGGTATTTATTATCTACATGTAGCTATACATCATGAGATATCTTAATTCTCTATGATTTACTGGTTTTAAATGTGCATTATAAGGTGTGATTTATTGATTAGTGTTGACATGGGATGATAGATATTGCATATTGCACAGTAGAGTATTTAGCCATAAATTATGCATTCTATTAGCAAGTGCAGAGGGACCACACTACACGCAAAACAAAAATCTACAAGTAGTACAAGATAAACCTGCGGACAAGACAGAAAATAGACATTGCAAAAAAGAAACATATTAAATCAAGTGAATGGATATATTTATAAACTTTTGAATCAGCTGATTTGGCTCTTTTATTGTTATACTCCCACATGGAAATGTGGTCGTATATTGCCGTCGCCCCCGCCCGTCCGTCCGTCCGTTCATCCTCCACAATTTCTTGTGAACACTCTACAGACTACATTTATCAACCGATTGTTTTGAAATTAATATATGTTGTTTGTATTAGTGAGATGAAGAAGCCTATTTAATTTCAATAACTTCTGTTAATTTCTTCTGGAGTTATGGCCCTTGTTTCACTTTGTTGCACCTTGTGAACACTATAACGACAAAAGTTATCAACCGATCTGTATGAAATTTATATGCATCATTTAAATTAGTGAAATGAAGAAGCCTATTGAATTTCAGCAATTTCCGTTAATTACGCCGTGAGTTATGGCCCTTGTTTCACTTTGTTGAATGTTGTGAATGCTCTAATGACAACAGTTATCATCCGATCTGTTTGAAATTGATATGCATCATTTAAATTAGTGAAATGAAGAAGCCTATTGAATTTCAGCAATTTCCGTTAATTACGCCGTGAGTTATGGCCCTTGTTTCACTTTGTTGTACCTTGTAAATGCTCTAATGACAAAAGTTATCCGATCTGTATGACATTTATATGTATCATTTAAATTAGTAAAACGAAAAAGCCTATTGAGTTTCAGTTATCACCTAAATTAGTGAAATGAAGAAGAACAAGCCTATTAATGTCAGCAATTTCCATCAATAACGTCTAGAGTTATGGCCCTTGATTTACTTTGTTGAACTTTGTAAACTTTCGAACAACAAAAGTTATCATCCGATCTGTATGAAATTTATATGCATTATTTGAATTAGTAAAACGAAAAAAGCCGTCGAATTTGAACAATTTCTGTAGATTGCTTCCAGAGTTACCGCCCTTGTTTTAGTTTTTAGAACCTTGTGAACCTTCAAACAACGAAAATTATAATATCATCTGTATGAAATTGTCTATTAAATTCCCCTAATTACCTACAAAAGAATAAATATGTGACAACCATTGTTGACTGCTCGATCGCTAGCCTGGAGGTCGGGTGTACGATCCCTGCATTGGCCGAGAAAGTTCATCCAGATTTTCCGGCGTGGTTCTCCCTTGTCAGTGATGCAGGACGGAGGGGCTGACACGGAAAGCTGTCTAGTCGTTCGGATGGGACGGAAAACCGAGGTCCCGTGTACACATTGGCGTGCACGTAAAAGATCCCTTGGCAGTTGGAATTTGATATAAGAATAGGCCGTAGTGCCGTTGTCCGGGCAAAATTTCCCTCATAGCACACTGTATGGCGTATGCCCGTCTTCATTAGCCCAGGTTAGGAGCAGAACAGTAGGACGTTAAACTCCATTTCATTTTTTGTCGACTGCTCGGACGATTTAGCTGCTGTGGGCGTATGTTTTGTTGCCTGGCAACCTATCTTTTTTATATTGCTGTTGCTCCCGTCTGTCCCTTGGTTTTGCGGCCACAATTGCTTGTGGACACTCTAGAGGCTAAAGTTAATACCCGGATGACTTTAAATTTATAGACAGTGTTTAAGGTCATGTGACGAAGAACCCTATTGATAATTACTGTCAAAGTTCTGGCCCTTGATTACTTTGAAATATCTTGTGGATGCTCTAGAGGCTAAAGTTAATATCCGATTGACTTCAAATTGATACAGTGTTTAAGGTCACAAGACGAAAATCCTATTGATTTTCAACGATTTCCGATAATTACTGCCAGAGTTATGGCCCTTGATTACTTTGAAATATCTTGTCGATGCTCTATAAGACTAAAGTTATCATCTGATTGACTTTAGATTGATACATAGTGTTTAAGGTCATCAGACGAACAATTCTATTGATTTTCAATGATTTTTGAACAGCTAAATCCACGATATTAAATGTTTCATATACTAAGTGTTAGCATGGAGCAGAACTAAAAGCCAAACAAATTATTATGATTTTCTGATAATTACTTAATGAGTTGTTATTCTTAATCAGATTTTAGTGTATTATAAATGTTTCATTACCGACAATAGAAAAAATATGCGAAAACTCTTGTTGACTGCTGGGACGACTGTGGGCCTATGTTCCATTGCCTGGCAACCTGTCTTTAAATGAAGTATATGATGTGTCCTTTATGTACATTATATACTATTAGGATTTATCCACCATCATGAAGAGCACACCTCAGGTCTGTTAAACAGTATTTTATTCACAGGATACTGAAATAAGCCAATGTCTTATATAAATTGGCTTACAGGTACAAAAACCAAGATACATAAATGATGCAAACAGATATTATCGATCAAACATGTTTGCAAAGTGTAAAATTACATATATAATAAGATTACAGAATAAATATAGTCAAGTATATTATCTTGTTTAAATTCGAGTAAACAATAAAATGGGTGAACCCCTCGGGACTACACCTTGTTTAAATTCATTTCACAAAATCATGGTCGGCTGATGTAACCGATTGGAGGTTAGGTTGGGTGAACGGAGGGTGTGTGGGTGTGAATTCAGTATACACAGCAGAGGACTCAAATTTAGAATAAAATATATCGTAAATAATAGTAGACAGGGATAACAATAATAACTTATTTTAATGAAAATATTGTACCAACCAAGCGATTTGACTATTGAACAGTCGGCATAACCCCCCCCCCCCCGACACACACACACACACACACACACACCACCGTACAGTGTGTTGTGAAGCAAATTTTGTCTGGATAGGAATTGAATTATAACTGGCAAGGGTTCTTTCACATGCATGCCCAAATTTCTTTCCACCCCTTTACGTGCAGCACCACTGGCAAGGGGAAACTACGCTGGAAACTCCTGGGGTACTTTCTCAGTCAACACTGGGATCGAACCCCAGACGATCTAATAATAGCTTTTTCTTTAAACTTTGAACTGTTTTCAAGGCCTTTTAAAATCTGGCAGGTTATTCCAGTATCTGATTACAGATGAATTATCATATATTTCGTATCTTGAAGGTCATCCCAAGGTCATCCCATAGCAAATTGTCAAGTGGTGCAGTTTTTATCCCAAACATGGATATGACAAATAGAGGGGTCGCCTTCCTAAACAGTCTCAAGTGGTTTATCTGTTTTCTCAAATTGCTAAAGACCCCTACAATAAAATAGTACCATACGTTTGTCCCGAATTGACTTTGTGTCTAGTGGACGTTAAACCTGATTTCTTTCTCTCCTAAACAGGTGCAACCACTACTACTAGTATATGAGAACATAAATAAATGCTTTGGATGCCATTACCAAATATAGCAAATGATACAAAAATCATAGAGAAGTAACTGTTATCCTCTAGCCAGCTGGATCCAGGTTACCACTTTTATAATGTATCCTCCTTTTAAATCAATTGAAATGAAATGAAATGGGGTTTAACATCCTACTGTTCTGCTCCTATCCTGGGCTAATGAAGATGGGCATACGCCATACAGTGTGCAATGAGGGAAATTTTGCCTGGGCAGCTGCGCTACGGCCTACTCTTATATCAAATTCCAACTGCCAAGGGATCTTTTACGTGCCCGCCAATGTGTACACGGGACCTCGGTTTTTCGTACCATCTGAACGACTAGACAGCTGTCCTTGTCAGGCCCTCCATCCTGCATCACTGACAAGGTGAAACCACGCAGGAAAATCTGAATGAACTTTCTCGGCCAATGCAGGGATCGAACACCCGACCTCCAGGCTAGCGAGCCAGCGTCTTATCCACTTAGCCACGTGATCCCCCCTTTTAAATCAATTAAGGGTTAATGTAAATCATACTCATAAATAACAACAGAACATGACATTGGATTTCATGATTGTATTTGACTGGAATAATACAAAAGTTGGATAAATAATTGTTTCCTTTATTAATGATGGTGACAAATTCATCTACCATTTTTTTTTAAATCAGAATAGCGACATCATAGAGATCATGGTAGCTTATACATCTGTACATGGCAAATTAAGAAATCTTGGGACCTGCAATTCTTTAATTTTGATTTTAAATGCCGAAGTTGAGATATCAAATAAAATAAAGTTGGTTTCATATGATGATACATAGTTACAACAACATGAAGAGTAAGTGACAAATTTACACCTATTATCATTGTGCTTTCAAAAATCTGTGTCCAATACTGATATAATTCAGTTGTTTTAAGCAGAGAAAAAAGAAAGAAACTAAAGTGGTAAATAGTCCACATCACATTTAACTATATGAACATTTTGGTTATACATAAATTAAAGAGATATGCCCATTAATTGTAAAATTATAATAAAATTGTTGAAAATTATTTATCAATCACAGGAAAGTGACAAATGTTGCAAAAAGGGAGTTTCAGTTTGGGTAATAAAGGAGTTTAACACGCTAAAAATGAAATGCATCAATATGGGCACTTTGCGCCTCTTCTTCAGTGTTGTATTAAATTTATATAATGATTGACCTAATTTAATATAACAAACATGTACATGTAATAAAGAGAGGTACTAATTGTTTAACATCACAGAGTTAATAGAGGAATACATGTGGAATAACATATATATTAAGTACAACTAATACCGTTTTTGGGCCAAGGATTGACCATTCATATATAACCCACACCCTATTTTTCAAATTTTTTAAAAAAGACCACAACCGTTGCAAGTTGTGTCCAGGCAAGTTGGTTATTTTATAACATATGTCATCAATGCTTTCGTGTTGAAAGCATTATATACAAGCACCATTAAATTAAGTAACAAATGCCCTACTGAACAATGCATTGGAGATATTCCACACCCCACTTCAGACAAACTAAAATATGGTTTTATATTCATTCATTAAAAACAAGAAAAAAAGTATGGTTTCGCCTGGCACAATTAACTATTTTCATAGAATACATGGGTCGTTAAAATATGTTTCAGTTATTTAGTCATCTGTGGAGAGCATACATGAAGTTTTAATATTTGTTCCAAAAAAACTATTTAAACTGTTGTGCTATTGTGTTTGATTATTGGATTTTAACAACATTTGTCTTCTCCATGTCTAAAATTACAAAGCAACTATTCGGTACATTACAGGGGAAAAATATAGATGTTTCTAATTATCTAACTGATACAACCTTGTTTCAAAAGATTAAACTTAACAATTATTTAACATGTATTACTGTACAAATATGATAAAAATCTTATAGAACATACAATAGAGAAGTTTATAATTATCTATGTATATAACACACCGATTAACAATTTAAAAATCTACTCAATAATAATAGACCACTTACTACCCTTTCCGAACATATTGCCTGTGATTCCAGAAAAAATCCATTTTTCAACACCTCAGGAATTATCCATTTTCCACATCTAAGGTCGCAAGATTATATTTTTAAGATAAAGATATATTTATCAAATATATAATACTAACAATAAGTCATATTCTTCATAAAGACATTAAAGATAAATTATATGAATCTAATTACATGGACAGGAAAAGTGTTTAATTGTGACTTCCCAAAAATGCTTTATTAATATAAGACAAATTACTTATATAGCAACCTACAAGTATGTGGCATTATAACTATAGTATTGATATGTTTGGTATGGGGACTACACTGTTTGACAACACACAATATAATAGCAGCATGCTCTATTATTATATTCTTGAATTCACTATCTTCAGTAATGCAATGACATAATTCCGCAAAGTACATGTACTACATGTACTACAAAAGCTGAGAGCAATATAATACATCGTTTTGTCATTAATATTGAGAAATAAAATTGGAACATGTGTACCAGCAATTGGTTCTTGTTTCCTAGAGTGGAAATTTATCCATAACCAAGAAAACAATCTGAAGCACTTGGTAGAAGTACTAAAAGGAAGACATAATAAATAATACACAAACAACTGAAAAGTAGATTTTCTTTAAAACAAAGCTGTTCAACAGTTTCTTTTTTTTAAACTTATAATAACATAGGAATTATGATATAAAAATAAATATGTAATTTAATTTAAGGCAGCTTGTAATAAAATATGTTAAATCCTATCAAAATGTATGGCAAAAAATGAAAAGTTGCAAAATATAACTGATTTAAATTGAGCATTATTGTAATATCTGTTACTAACATTCAATACTAAATATATAATAATTATTGTACAATATCAAAGTAGTACGTAATTAACATCAAGTGATTCTGCTGTCACATTTTACTAACAATTAAGTGAGTTTTGATAGAGGACAATTGAAACATAACACAGGAAGACTATTTTACAGACAATGACCACAGATCTTGAAGTTTTATTTCCTCTAACATTTTTTATACGAAAGTAAACTAACATACATAAGATATTCGCACTAGCTCAATTTAAGGCAGTTTCATGCTGCTTCAAAACCTCTTAAACCATGAAATCTAATTTATTTTGAGTTAAAGAGATTTATATGATATTTATCACTAAATAATGGTGATTTTATAGCTAAATAAATAAAATGTATTTTTAGATAAAACATTTCATCTAGGGGCATATAATCATCTTAAAAACAAATCTCAACAATATTTATTAAGCAGCCTAACACATGAGCCATAATTATGAACCTCTGTATTAAAACTATGTTTGTTATCCAGTTTCTGAATCATAATAATACAACTGAATACCATGATTAATAAATGCCATATTTCAAGGGCAGACAGTCATAATTTACACGTAAAATATTTTTAAAAAACACAATACTGACGTTGAATGTAACACTAAAAAGTATTAAAATTGAATTCCTCTGATAAATATCTGCCCATAAACACAGAGTGAATAACATCTTTAAGAAAAAGTGACCAGTACTGACAAATATTCATATTATAAAGCATCTTATTTAACTACACATTTATCACAAAAATTGGTAAAGACAAAAAGAGGAGATCAGAAAAAGATTTTATTAACAATGTCCAGTTTATTTTAAAATACATGTGTTTTTATCCATCCATTTCTTAAACTCTTCCTCTCTGTATTACTGTGTTTTTTGATTTTGGGAATCAACAAATAAAGCTGTGTGTTGTACTACTACTTGTACTATGTTTTTTAACGGAGTGGCTGGGTGATTCACAGAGATCTATATCACGATAATAGTTGAAAATAAAACCAGAAATAAATCACAGTGAATCATCATCACTTTCAGAGGAAGAATCTAACATTAAACTTAATAACAATAAAGATAGCTCTTCATCTAACACTCCTAAATGGTCGAGTTCATCTCGTACTTGTAAGAAATCCCATAAATTGCTATGGTTAATGATATCAGTTTCTCCATTCGCATTTTCCCGGCGCCGAATTGGTCGAGGACGGGGTTCAGCCTTAGTTCCGTCTGGATAAGCGTGGAGATAGAAGCACTTTTCATTGAAAGGACATTCTCCTTTTCCTAAATCAAAATAGCGACATGGTTTGGAGCTGAAAAAGTAAAGAAAAATATATAATTGATGGCAGTTAAATTTATAAACATGTGAAGAGAACAGCAAGAAATGATAAAATATGGTAAGACGTTTATGTTGAAAGAAAAGCAGTCTTGAAATTTGTGCCACAAGAGGTCATTGAAAATTGAGACGCTCAATAACTAAGTACTGTTAAACTAACCTTAATGCATTTTTATAACCTTCTATTAATTTGGCTTTATCTTCTTCACATTCTACCCAATATTGACTAGGTGCTACAAAATCTGACTGTACTCTACATTCTGGACAAGCTCTGATAAAATACATAAATACAGCAATATCAAAACATCAAAATATAGTCTTTTAATAGGTTGATCTGATGTTTTATTTTCTATTGATGATGAGAAAGGCTCTTATTAATCTTGGGTGAAATGGGGTTTAATGTCCTACTTTTCTAAACCAACCGGGCTTATGAAGACAGGCATACACCATACAATGTGCTATGAGGGCAATTAAATACCTTACATCCCGCCGCACCACCGACAAGAGTAAACCACGTGTGCAAATCCCGAAGAATTTTTCAGCTAATTTCAATTCAAAAGATTCCGTGGAAGATGGTTAGTATAATTTTTGGCATGAATTATTAATAATAATAATAATCAATTTGTATAGCGCTGAGTGCTCCAGCTAACAGCTGCTCCGCGGCGCTCTTGATAATTAAAATGAATACAATGTAAAACAAATAGTTCTAAAACATTAAAATGTCAACATGTTCATAGTTTAAAAGCACTTTTAAAAAATTTGGTTTTAAGATTTTTTTTAAAAACAGCAACATTAGTAGAGTCTTTTACATGTCTAGGTAATTCATTCTACATATTAGCAGAGGCGTAAACAAAAGCCCGTTCACCAGTTTTAGTTTTTACTGTAGGAACATGTAGTAAGTTTTTATCAGCAGCGTAGGTTCCTGCATGGTTTATACAGGGTTAAAAGTTCATTAAGATACTGTTATTGATGGTTATAATCAATTATAGTATCAATGGAGACCGTTTTTTTTTACATCACAAAATGAATTATTGTGACAATTTTATTTTTATCTCAAATCAAAGAGGTTATACTTTTACTTTGAGATTTTAACATGGTAACTTATTTTCTCTAGTAGTATGTGCTAGGAATGGACGTGTGAAATTTTATCTGCCTAGAAATCATTTAAGTTTTATGTACACAATGTGGATGAGGGGAACTTCAACAGGAAGAGCTATTCTTTAAATATTTTTACTATCTTTCAATTAGAAATAGTAAGCTTTGATCATACAACAAAACTTGGTATCAAGAATATATTTAACCATATATCTGCAATTAATGTAACTGATTACCTTATTATTTTGTTTTCAAACTGTTTGGCACACCTCCATTTACGTATACAACTGAGACAGAAAATATGAGTGCATTTTGGTAATATACCAAACCTTCGTTCATTGACTGGTTGTTTATCTAATACTATATCCATACATATTCCACAAACTTTATCTTTACTTCTAGCTACAGCAAATGATAATTCCATATCTTTTTCATGTTGTTCTGTACATTCCTACAAATTGAAGCAATTATAAACTTATTACATTCAAATAAATGAACATGAGTTTGATTTTTTTGTTGGGTAAAAAGATCATATACAAATGAGTGCAACTAGTCACGATACTTGAATGTATACGTCATCAAGATATGATGTTTCTCAAAGCGCAAATTTTTAATATATGACTGCGTCAGAAGCTATGTAGTGTATAAGTATGACAATGTCCAGGGTTCTGAATCCACATCAGTTTTGTATAACAGGCCTACATATATTTATCTGTGCATGTTTTTTACTACATTTTGTAACAGGTAACTTACCGAAGTATGTTTTTTTCGCAGCTCTGGATCAGTGGGATGTAAAACATTGAGACCACATAATTCACACTGATTGCCATGGAGATATGTACAGTTGTTACCATACCAACACTCTCCACCAGCAGCATATGGGCATAGTTCATTATGGCTATTGAGTTCGTTGTTTTCTGATTCTTCAAGATCTTGACCACACAATGTGGCTTTGGCATAGGAAGATGGAACTGTAAAATAAAATTGTAAAAAAAACATGCTTTGAGTCACTTAAATTTCTACACATTAACAGAATCAGTGCTGTATTTTACTTTTACTGGCCTGTAGAAAAGTTAACTTAATATAAATTATTCAACTTTATTTGTAACAGGGTACAATATACTTTACTTGATTGTTACTTGTAAGTTTTTGTATATACTCTAAATAATTGGTTAAAGGGACTATCCCGGTTTGAACAGAGTCTTAAAAATAAAAGTCTGAGTACGTATGAAATTTAAGTGCCAAAATATAGAGGAGTGGTGTATCTACCTTGTCTCAAAATTTCAGCTCAAAATATTGAGTCGTTTGGACATGAACGTCAAAACTGCTTATCCTGACACGTAACCTTTTTAAGATTTCGGGTCAATTTTTTCGTTGGGTGACCTGATAATCGATTCCCGTTCCTTTAGAGGTCTATACAGTGAATGACACATGTGCTGTACTTGATAACGAAAGGTAAATTTCACCTACACCTTATTCTTATTAAAAAAAGGTCTGGTTTTATCCAGACACCATATAATACAGCTTGGGGCACCAGTCTCCATTTCCAGACGGAGACTGACAGATTTAAGTTGTTTGAAAACGTATCACATATATTGAGTTAGTTGCTCGGCCCAAAGGTAGATGATTTTAAGGGATTTTAAGACAAATTTGTTCTCCAAAATATTATCAGGATTGGCCCTTTAAACCTATTTTGATTTGTTATGTACTATTATATAATCACTGAAAAGTTTTAACCAACATAAGAACTATATAAAGATCATATTTTCAATTACTTTAATATTATAGATAGTCCACAAATATTGATTTTACTAAATTAATCATATTGAATAATCAAAATAACTTACTAGATCCTTCATATTTTTCACCTGGTACAAACTCTTTGGCTTTTACCCATTCTTCTGGTGGTTTACCATGAGGTGATGTGTTATTTTTTTCTGGCTGGACTTCCCCTCCTTTCTTTAACGCCACAAGTTTACTTTTCCTTGTATCATAATCTGTTTTAATGTGAGGTTTCTGTATAAAACTTTCTGGAGATTTTGAAAATTTCTTGTCATTTGGCTTATTTTTATCTTTATCCTGTCGGACATGGTCATATCTGCAAAAATAAAGATAAAAGTAAGCTTACTCTTGACAAATGAAATTAAAAATATGAACTCGTACATCATATCTAAATCATTTTTAAAAGTATTAGTGGGAATTTATTTAAATAATAAGAAAGAAAAACAGGACTTGTTACTACAGTGTATACATTATCCTACAGGAGCTGAACATAATATTTCTTACAATTACTTTACAAATGAAATTGTGTTTAATATCCTACTGTTCTGTTCTGGCTGGGCTAATGAAGACAAGCATACACCATGCAGTGTGCTATGAGGTCAATTTAGCCTGGACAGTGGCGCCACGACCTACTCTTATATTGAATTCCAACTGCCAAGGGTTCTTTTACGTGCATGACAAGGTGTACATGGGACCGCGGTTTTCGCACCATCCGAATAACTATTCATTGCCTCTTGCCAAGCCCTCCATCCTACACCATTGACAATGGGAGATCATGCCAGAAAATCCTTATGAATTTTCTCGGCCAAGGCAGGGACTGAACACCGGACTCGAGGTTAGCAAGCCAGCATTTTACTCACTGAGCCACTATGGCTCCAGATTACTTTACAATTTGACACTAAACAATTGTAGTCTGACTAAACTAGTGGACAACAAATTTGATTATCATATTACCTGCATCGATCTCCATAAGCACAGCTTCCTTTTAAATAATATCTACATACCAATGATGGTGTAGCATTTAAATCATGAGCAAATTTACATCTATCTCCTTGTGTACAAGACCCATGGAGAAAATATCTAAAAAAATTACATTAGTATATTTTATATCCATCCTTGCATATTGACCAATCAATTAAAGGACAATATTGGTGTCAGTCATTATCACATATGTGATAGAACTGGTTTAACACCTTCCAAATATAATTTTAACACAGATATCATTGCTATGCGTTATCAAGGTTACAACAAACGGAAGTGACAAACGCAAAAGGAAAACACAAGTTATCCTTCTATATAACTGACTGAAGTGACGAGTGATAACAGATACACGTTCGAATTACATGTACTGCTCACTAATAATTCCTTTGAAGACCAAAAGTTGTTATATGAGACTGTGGGAGGATATGGCCATCTCCAATCCATTCAGAGAAAATCCAGATAACCTAATCAAAACATGTATTGCGTTAGAAAATTTCTAAGTTATTTATTGTGTTGAAAGTTATAATTACAAATTAGAATATCATGTTGCAATATTACAAAATTCGTAATATCACAAAATATATTTTAGTTAAGCTATATTTACAAATATATTTTAGGTTAAGCTATACATGTATTTACAAATATATTTTAGGTTAAGCTATATTTACAAATTTATTTTATAGATAAATGAAGATGCAATATCTGATGATTTTTTACGTGCCGATATAAAAGTTAAATGAAAAAGACATGTTTTCAACCACAAGACAGTTGGCTTTGTTTGCTAAATCCAATGTGTAATCAAGTATTTGAAGCCACGATAATATTACATATTCGAGTTGCTGCCATGACTCTGAACATTGATACATATTTGATTTGGTGATGTGCAGCAGGATAGTACTAAAAATTATATTTTAGCTGTGATCTATTTATAAGTCCCATCAGGGGTGCTCAAATATGATTATATGATATCTTTTACACAAACTGGTTAAACTGTTGAATATGTTTTATATGTGGCTTTAGTTTCCTGGGGTTTATCTATGCGCTAATGCAAAATATCTTCAGTGCCGTGATTTTCAACATCGGATAAGTTAGGCTTACTAATATTAACTTTATTCAAAATTATGCTGTGTAGAAAATAAATTTCATTTTTTTTAAAAAGATAGGTTGCCAGGCAACGAAACATACGCCCACAGCAAATAAATCGTCCGGGCAGTCAACAAGGGTTGTCGCATATTTTTACTTTTTTCGGTAATGAAACATTTATAATACACTAAAATCTGATTAAGAGCAACAACTCAAGAAGTAATTATCAGAAAACTATTAGAATTTGTTTGAGTTCTGCCCCATGCTAACGTTTTGTATGCAAAGCTTTTAATATCATGGATTTACTGTTCAAGTCATAAAAATTCATTGAAAATCAATATACTTGTTCGTCTCAAGAGTCAAGATCTTAAACTCTGTGTATCAATCTGAAGTCAATCGGATGATAACTTCAGCCTTTAGAGCGTCACAAGATTTTGCAAAGTGATCAAGGGCCATAACTTTGGCAGTAATTATCGGAAATCGTTGAAAATCAATAGGAATCTTTATCTTATGACCTCAAACACTGTGTATAAATTTAAACTCAATCGGATATTAACTTTAGCCTCTAGAGCATCCACAAGATTTTTTGAAGTGATCAAGGGCCATAACTCTGGCAGTAATTATCGAAAATCGCTGAAAATCAATAGGATTCTTCGTCTCATGACCTTAAACACTGTGTATAAATTGAAAGTCAATCGGATATTAACTTTGGCCTCTAGAGCGTCCACAAGATTTTTCAAAGTGATCAAGGGCCATAACTCTGGCAGTATTGGAAATCGCTGAAAATCAATAGGTTTCTTCGTCTCATGACCTTAAACACTGTGTATAAATTTAAAGTCAATCGAATATTAACTTTGGCCTTTAGAGCGTCCACAAGATTTTTTGAAGTGATCAAGGGCCATAACTCGGGCAGTAATTATCGAAAATCGTTGAAAATCAATAGGCTTTTTCATCTCATGACCTCAAACACTGTGTATAAATTTGAGGTCAATTGGATATTAGCTTTGGCCTCTAGAGCGTCCACAAGGTTTTTCAAAGTGATCAAGGGCCATAACTCTGGCAGTAATTATCGGAAATCGCTGAAAATCAATAGGCTTCTTCGTCTCATGACCTTAAACACTCAGATATTAACTTTAGCCTCTAGAGCGTCCACAAGCAATTGTGGACGCCGGACAGCCGCCGGACGGACGGACGGGGGCGACGACAATATATATGACCACATTTCAATGTGGGCGTATAAAAAACTGATAACATTGCTGTATATTGCTAGGTTTGATTAGGCATATCACGTTACCCAGTGAATGCATTCTGGTTGCAGACCTGACCTGGTTTTTGTTTTTTTTTGTGTATTCAGCTGCGTTTTCCATACTTTGTATTAAATTACAACGTTAACATTATTAAACGTATAAATATTTATGCTAACGCTCTTTTATTAGATATCTACTGAAAAGTACTGACGCTTGTTTCAATGGCTCTGGCCTATTTTCGATTTTGTTTACAAACAAAAACCAGACGTACACTACAAAATAAGTCAAAGTGGAGGGAACAGGACTATTTCCATAAATAGCATGTAATTTCATATTTGAAATGATAAGCACTGAGAAAAACATTCATGCATATGTCTGAGGAAGGCTTATATTAAATAATAACATAATTCATTGTTTTAAAGTAAGTATATTTGCATAAATCCATTTTGTCTACCTGCATTGAACTTCAGACGTCCAAGGAGAGGCCTCCGCCATTATTACCCATATTATCCAACTATTCAGACATATTTTCGTATTTACATTAAATCGGACAAAAGGAAAACAAACTCAGTGCTACGGTGTTTTTATTCGTCACGTGTCTATGATATCATTAAAAGTTTTATTACACTAAATATCTTATGTCCTTTTGTTTCAAATAAAGAAACGACATAATAATATAAATCAAATTTATAATAAAATTTTGGTGGAATATCAGTCTAAGGGAAGCAACTCCATTTAACAATGTCAAATTTTAATACTTGGTTGAAAATGAAATAAAGACTAGTAATGAAAACCTTCTAGGCCCGAATCATTTACTGATAATTTTTACTCTTTAATGATTAATTATGTACCTAAATTATTATCTACTTGTCAGAAATACAATGAAAAAAGAAATAATGAAAAAAATGCAAGATGGGTGGCCTTTGGATACAGTACTAGGGAGGAAACTCCATTTATTGATGACAATGAAACAAAGAAATTGAAAACCCCCACTACATGATATTATTATTACCATGGACCATGTATTATAAGGTCCATGTTATTACTAATAGTTTCTCTAACTTTCACGAATACAGTTAACCATTTGCCTGTCAAAAATGCAAGGGAATTAAAAAAAAAAGAAAAAAAGAAGAAGAAAGAATGATAGATTGGGGGCGTAGCAGGGGCGGATCGAGGAATTTTTGCGGGAGGGGGTTTGTTAAGGGAATTTGACAGTTGACAATGCATGATGCCATCATATCCCCAAATTACATATGCATACATGCATGATGCCATCATCATTCTGAAATTACATAGGCATACATATACACTGAGCTTTTTAAAGAAAGAAATCCAACATTCCGTTTGGGTGGGTTGGATGGCCGAATATGGTTAGCACGTGCGCGCTGTATTATAAGGCCTGTCATTGAGTCAACTGGCGTGGTTTCGATTCCCTGGTTGTACGTGACAAGGAGTAGGGTCGCCTGTCCAACCTCGTGGGTTTTCTCCGGGTCCCCCGGTTTCCTCCCACTGCTAAAGACCCCTACGCGCAAGCGAATTATTGAAATAAAATTAAACCATATGTTAGTCCCGAAATGACCTAGTTTTTGTCGAGTGGATGTTAAACCCCATCTCTCTCTCTCCAACATCCCGTTTGACGTCAATTTTTATAATGAATTAATAGGATCACATTGCGATTCAATTTCATTGATGCAAAGCATTGATTGTGATATCACATTATAATATCATATATCTCGAACTTTGAATGCCCGACCAATCCCACCATCTCACGATAAAGGATATAGCACACGACCGTTACACTTTTCTCATAAAAAGTGTTGTTTTACAATTTTTTTGACGTAGTCCCCCCCCCCCCCCCCGGGATCCGCCCCTGCGTAGTGTAAAACTTTGACATTACTTCATATAGGCTGTATCCCATGTTCGGTACAAGTATAAGTTGATGCAAGATCGATATCATATGTATCCATGTAGAAAAGTTCTCCATTTCCCGACTACGTTGTTGTTCACTTGTTGTTGCTTAAGGATTTACGTCTGCTTCTACCTTGGGTGATATCGCAGACAAATTTTCGATTTCATTTTCACCCACGGTAGTTACTAGTTCTACCGTGAAGAGCACTCTAAAAACTCCATTTAAGGATGACAAGTTTCGAAACGTGGGTGGAAATGAAATCGAGAAATGGAAAACTTCCACCTCTGTTTTTATTACTAAGTTTGTAATATAAAATTTGGTGGAAAATCAGTCATAACGATGTCCAATTTTCAATACTTTGACTACCGGTAGTAAAGAGAACCTTCTACGCCAAAATCTATCTTTCTTTTTTCTCTTATTCCCTCGCATTTTTAACAGGTAAATGTTAACTGTATTTGAAAAAATTACAAACTATATGTAATATATTAAGTGGTGGTAGTTTTTAGTCTCGGTCACCCATAACCTCCTAGTCTGATAGAGACTAGATAGTTTTAAATTTCTTAGTGTCATTTAATTTTCATCCATGTTTAATGGAGTTTCCTGCCTGACTTTTAATATATCCCATTTAAAGGTACAATAACACTCTTTCTGACTTGACAGTTCCAGAAAATAAAAAAAAAAGCCTTATTCTAAGTAATAGATGTGTTAGTGTCTTACCTGTTGTGTAAATTATCCATTAAATCCTATTTTACTTGTCCAGAGGGTTCAAAAATATTTTTAAATCCAAGTCACATTTGAAAAGCTTTACGTCAGGCTTTTCAAATCATTTATTTGAATTTTTCCAATTTTTTAAAATTAGGTGTGTTAAGATGAAATTTGTATCATCAATTAATTGGAATATTGTAAAATAGTGCAATTTGTTGACCAGAATAAAGATTGGGACATATTATTCAGTTACAACAAGAGTGGTATTGAGCCTTTAAGGCCACCCATATTGCATTTTTTTATTATTTCTTTGCATTTCTGACAAGTAAATAATATTTTAAGTACATATATCATTAAAAATTACAAACTATCAGTAATAGACTGGGGCGTAGAAGGTTTTCAACACTAATCTTTATTTCATTTTCATCCAAGTTGGCCTATTGAAATTTAGCATCGTTAAATGGACTTCCCTCCCTTAGACGGATATTCCACCAAATTTGATTATGCTGTTTCTTTATTTGGAAAAAAAATTGTTCATGCTAACTGTATTCGATAAAGTCACAAACGATTTGTAATTGATTAAGTGGTGGAAGTTTTCCATTTCTTGGTTTTGTTTCATTTTTATCCATGGTTTGAAACTTGTCATCCTTAAATAGAGTTCCCTCCCTTAGACTGTTATCCAAAGGACACCCATATTGCATTTTTTTCATTAGAACCCTGTAATCGCATTTCTGACAAGTAGATAAGAATTTAAGTACATATTTAATCATTAAAAAGTACAAAATATCAGTAGTAGAAGGTTTTCATCACTAGTCTTTATTTCATTTTCATCCAAGTATTGAATTTTGACATCCTTAAAGGAGCTAAGTCTCTAACTCAATATCATCCAAAATCTTCAACATTTAAAACACGAATTATTTGTCAATTTAAAACAACATTGATGCTGTGATCTTACCGGAAAAGGGTGGGCTTCTGATATCCAATATTTAAGACAAAATAAATATTTTACCATGTAGACTGGAATAACCAGGCGCTAGGAATTTGCACTCGATTGAGACGGCTGGCTTATTTCACGGAACATAACTGATTTGAAATTAGAGAGAGTAAAAACGGAAACGATTGAATGTAAATCAGTTTATATACATTCATATTACGGTATTATATGAGTTGCGACCCACTTGTGTCAATTTCTAGGTCCCAAATATTAGCGATTTAGCTCCTTTAAATAGAGTTGCCCCCCTTAGACTGATTTTCCACCAAAGTTTTATAAATTTGATTATAAACTAGTGATTGTATCCCATAAAAACTGTGTTCTGTTAAATTTGATTATGTCGTTTATTTTTTTATTATGGGGATCATGGTGGTTAAGCGGGTAAGACGCAGGCTCGCTAGCCTGGAGGTCGGATATTCGATCCCTGCATTGGCCATTAAGGTTCATCCACATTTTCCGTCACGGTTTCCCCTTGTCAGTGATGCAGAACGGAGGGCCTGACAAGGACAGTTGTTTGGATGGGACTAAAAACTGAGGTCCAGTGTACACATTGGCGTGCACGTAAAAGATCCCTTGACAGTTGGAATTCGATATAAGAGAAGGCCGTAGTGCCACTGTCCGAGCAAAATTTTCCTCATAGCACTCTGTATGGCGTATGCCTGTCTTCAATGTGGAAGTTTTCCATTTCTTGATTTCATTTCTACCCTCCCTTAGACGCTTATTCCAACCTAGCTACATGGTAGGCCTACATACCTAACGGATTAAGGCAACCTCCAGATTTCGTTAGGGTCACGAGATGTAAACAGCGCTAGGGCTAACCAACTATCCTTGGCAGCAATTAGGTGCCCTAGTAGGCCTACGTTTACATCTCATGGCCTTGACAAAATCTGCAGGTGAGCTTAATATTTAGATCTAACCACATAAGGTCTGCGATATCACACAAGGTTGAAGCGGACGTAAAGCCTTACGCAACAACAACGAAATTGAGAAATGGAAAATTTCCACCTCTGTCATAATAATCAAGATGCCAAATTAAATATTAATTTGTTTTACAACAGCTGAAGGGAAGATAACCTCTCTTTCTCAAGCATCTGGTAACCATCTTACCATATTTGTATAGTTAGAGGCTTGTTAACTGATAATATATTGGAACTATATTCTGAAAAATGTGTCTGTGACTGTATGATATAACATATTGAAATTTATTTTGAAAAAAAGTGTCTGTGACTGTTGATATAATTTTGCTGTATTAGATATCCATTGAGTTCTGCAAATATTGACAATCAGTTTCACTCTTCATATTGTCTGTTAACATGGAATAACTTAAAACATAAAAATGATTGTTTCATTAACTTTTATTAATATATTATAATCCAAATGCTAAAATTAATTAAATATATATTGAACAAATCATCAACTAAAAGTTTAACAAATGTTAGTGCAATAAGTAGTGATTTGAGCATAATTATGAATTATTTCAAACATCCATATCTGAAAAAGATAATTGAGCTGTAAAAAAAGGCCCAAACAAAAACGAACAAATTCGGTTAGGACATTAAAGTAGCCAAGTCTCTAACTCAATATCATCCAAAATCTTCGACACTAAAAACATGAATTTTTTGTCAATTTAAATCAACATTGATGTCATGATCTTACCGGCCAAAGATGGACTTCTGATATCTAATATTTAAGACAAAATAAACATTTTACGATTGGTACACAAATCGTGTACCATAATGCTTTTCAGCACTATTTGTCATAAGGGACTCGAGAAACGAGGCTAGGCATATTGCACAAGTCATGTCAAACAGTGACCCATATTCTTATCTGGAGAGTATGTGCAATAAATATTATCGGTGTATACTGGAATAACCAGACGCTAGAAATTGCCATTCGATTGAGACTTCTGGCATATTTCTGCGAACATAACTATTTAGAAATTACAGTAAAAGCACTAACGGTTGAATGTAAATCAGTTTAAATACATTCATATTACATTATTATATGGGTTGGGTCCCATTTGTATCAATTTCTAGGTCCCAAATATTAGCGATTTAGCCCCTTTAAACGTAAATTTCTGTGAAACTTTCTGTTAAATTATTAGCCCCCTGCTCATGGGAACATACCTTTTAAGATTCATTTCAAAATTAATATCATTGCTTTTTTTCCATTGTTTCACATGGGAAATTCGCAGACCTTCTTATTTCATTAATATCAAGCCAAATATACAGCATAGTGAGAGGCCATTCATTTAATATACACTATTCATTGGAACAAGCATATTTTTTGATAACATTTAGCTTTTGGAGCATAAATAGATATCCTAAATTTTGTAGAATAAATACATCTACCCCATTTTCTGATAAAATTAAGTTATAGAGGCATAAATAGATATCCTAGAATAAATACATCTCTAATCATAAAAAAATATTTTATAATACGAATACATCCTTAAAGGAGATGGTCGACATATTTCTATATTCTAAAAATAGATTTTATAACTATGACAGCTACTAGAATCAACTTTTTAAAACATTTTAGATGCTCCCATTCAAATGCAACACTAAATTAGAGATTGTATTTAAGGATGTCACTGGTGAAACTAGAACTTGAATTTATTAAAAACATAACCAGGTTTGGACTCCGAAGGCGATATAGATACATCAGATAGTATTGAATAGGGGGTACCTAGAATTTATCTAAAGGCTCTTGCAATTAAGTAGCTGTCATCATTATTTATCTCAGGTAATAATATACATCTAAAACACATGAACCATCTCCTTTAATGGAAATAGTTTAAAACACAATTACATCACACAATGTCTAATAAAACAAGTGGTTGTCATGCAAGTTATGCCTACATTTTGCCAGAGAATGGGCTAAAAACTAATGAGATTTTTTTGTATATTCAGGGGCCATATTCCAGAAAGTTTCGGTCCAATATGTGCGAATATCGACAGAAACCGAAATCCTTGGGTTATAAACATACATTTCAAGTTTCATCAAAATTGGAAGAAAATTGTGATCTCTAGAGTGTCCACAAGCTAAAAACGTGATTTTTCGTACAATCAGGCGCCATAATTCATGAAGTTACGGTCCGATACATGGCAATTTTGAACGGAGCTGGGATCTTTGGGAGATAGACATATATAAAAATTGTGACCTGTAGACTGTCCAGAAACAAATGTGAACGGACACAGATGGACAGGGGCGATGACTACATACGTCCACATGAAAACGTAAACATATAAAAATACCTTCAAATACCCAAAATACAACAAACTAATTCATTTTCTAATTTTAACAGCTTAATTCTGATAAAATTGAATGTAGTTACCTTTATAAATTTTTTAAATAAATATACTTGTATAAAAAAAAGTAACAATTAAGAATTAATTTACACCCAATTATATCACAAAATTACCAATATATAATGCATTTGTTTCCAAAATATAATCATCAGAAAATTAACAACTATAATAAAATTATAACAAGATAATTGTGTATATAATCATTAGAAAAATAACAAATATGACAAGATAATTGTGTATATATTATAAAATTGCAAAGGTAAATATAATACATTAGACTAATATAATAACAGTTGTACTATTACACAGACTATGGTGGAACAGAAGTTGTTATTGTTTTTAAATGAAAATCAGAATTGTTTGGCAAGACATATATTCATTTTAAATATTTTAAAAAAAAGAAAATCTTGGCAAGATCATTAAAACCAAAGCACCTAAAATAAATAGAAACGTTTCACTAATTCTTTCTTTCATAATCTTAGTATCTGCCTATGAGGTGTTACAATATATCCATCCCTTTATGGCCAGACAGTATTAGATTGTTAGTCAATTCTTTTGTCACATTAAGCCTTACAAGAAGAAGAATAATCGACAGGCAAGTCATTAGGTCATCCTAATTAGCAACAGCTCCACCAGTCATCCACTGTGTTGTAAGTGTGATGCTCATTGTGTGTATTTGAATTATAACCATTTGTTATACATATGTAAGATATAGGTTCCAGTAATTAAAAGATTGAGGAACCATTCCAGACTCGTTAGTTATTGAAGAACCTAATGGGTATATCTTATTCTTTAAGCATATGATCCATCTGGTTTAATAGAAACGACTCGGTTTTCCTTTCTTGCGGTCTCGGCAGCAAAAACTAACAGATGACTGGCTAGAGTTTCATCTGGACCTGTCACTAGATCTTCTTTCTTATTCTCCTTAAAAAATAAACAGGTTGTACTGTTATCACTTTTACCAAGAAAATAAAATGTAACAAATTTAGATTAATGTCATATTCTAAACAAATTTAAAACTTTACACTCACCAAATTACTGAAAAATTCCAAAATGCTCACCTAAAGAGTAGCATATTTTAGATGAGCTTTTCTCCAAAACCAAATAAAAATAAACCCTTACAACTTGCAATATTTAAAATGTAATTATCTTAATAAAAGATTGGATGATATGTCTCAAATTTTATATCCAATCTTTGGATATAACTGTTTTGTCAAAAACACCTAATGTAATACTATAGGGGTTATTTTAGTTCTAGGAAAGGTGCTCTGCTTAATATATTGAAGTGGTTAAACAAATGGGTGTCAATGAGAAATCGGTTAAGTAGGTATTTTGCAAGATTTAAACATGCATTACGCAAGAGCTAAATCTGATTATTGCAAGTCTTTATTTAGGCTTCAGATGTCAGAAATTATAAATTAGATCTTTATTTACACAAAAAGCACAAAATCAACTCTGTAGACCCACGGATGGCTTGGATTCGGCTTGGATTAAAACAGGATTTTGTTGATTGATTAAATTTTTAAATGGCGTCGTAAGTGGAGATTAACCGTTACGTTGATGTCATACTCCCGGAAATAATTTTAGATCGAGGCTAAATGATAGATTGTACGAAGCGAGGCCGCATGTCAGTCAATTTGATTGAAAGTTCGATATACATGTATATGGCCTTGATATTATGTTTAGTTGTGGTTAAAATGAGAGTTTGGATGTCGGTATTATAGGCTACGCTCTTTTGTCACTTGCGTTTACAGAAAAATTATAGAAATTGATAAACATCGCAGCTAACAACATCACCCCAGTTGAATTGCAGCTCCATTGGATCACTGTTCGGGAGTTACGCAGGCCTACCAGTTACAGTACAAGAGTACAAGCAGGTTAACAAGAAGTCGGCTATAATTATGCCTTATTGATTTGGTCCATTTCTGTCAAACTTTCGCTTCTTATCTATATATTAAAAGTCTTATTTTTAATTTGTAGTAAAAATAAATGTGATACGAATTGAATTGCAACCCCGTCTCAAACCACAGCCATTGAAAACGTTACTTGATAATCGAGATTATGTAGGTGGAGTTAACGCCTGTCAATCAAACGATCGTCCATTCTCGGAGATGGTGAAGAGACAGTTGACTCCCATTTCTAGTCAAAAATTACAATAGTGATAACTTTGTTCAAAATAAAGTAATTTGACTGAAATTTTCAATATATTCTTCTTTCATCATCTATTTTTGAACTGTTATAGCAAGAATGGCCAACTCTCTATTAAAATCTCCCTTAATGTATCTTTAACTTTCTTAGACTAACTCACAGACAGTCTCTGCTATCATCAATTGCTGATAGTAGGGTACTATCGTCTAGTCATCTTGTGCACAGATTAGTCCAATTAAATAGAATAAGCAGCTAAATCGTCCGGGGAGTCAACAAGAGTTGTCGCATATTTTTACTTTTTTCGGTAATGAAACATTTATAATACACTAAAATCTGATTAAGAGAAACAACTCATGAAGTAATTATCAGAAAACCACATTAGAATTTGTTTGTTTTTTATAAAGTTCTGCCCAATGCTAATGTTTAGTATATGAAACTTTTAATATCATGGATTTAGCTGTTCAAGTCATAAAAATCATTGAAAATCAATATACTTGTTCGTCTCAAGATCTTAAACTCTGTGTATCAATCTGAAGTCAATCAGATGATAACTTTAGCCTCTAAAGCGTCACAAGATTTCTCAAAGTGATCAAGGGCCATAACTTAGGCAGTAATTATCGGAAATCTTCGTCTCATGACCTCAAACACTGTGTATAAATTTAAAGTCAATCGGATATTAACTTTAGCCTCTAGAGCATTCACAAGATTTTTGGAAGTGATCAAGGGCCATAACTCTGGCAGTAATTATCGAAAATCACTGAAAATGAATAGACTTCTTCGTCTCATGACCTTAAACACTGTGTATAAATTCAAAGTCAATCGGATATTAACTGTAGCCTCTAGAGCGTCCACAAGATTTTTCAAAGTGATCAAGGGCCATAACTCTGGCAGTAATTATCGAAAATTACTGAAAATTAATAGATTTCATTGTCTCATGACCTTAAACACTGTGTATAAATTTAAAGTCAATCGGATATTAACTTTAGCCTCTAGAGGGTCCACAAGATTTTTCAAAGTGATCAAGGACCATAACTCTGGCAGTAATTATCGTAAATTGCTTAAAATAAATAGGCTTCTTTGTCTCATGACCGTAAACACTGTGTATAAATTTAAAGTAAATCGGATATTAACTTTAGCCTCTAGAGCGTCCACAAGATTTTTTGAAGTGATCAAGGGCCATAACTCTGGCAGTAATTATCATAAAATCGCTGAAAATGAATAGACTTCTTTGTCTCATGACCGTTAACACTGTGTATAAATTTAAAGTCAATCGGATATTAACTTTTGCCTCTAGAGCGAGAGAGAGAGAAATGGGGTTTAACGTCCACTCGACACAAACTAGGTCATTTCGGAACTACCATATGGTTTAATTTTATTTCAATAATTCGCTTGCGCATAGGGGTCTTTAGCAGTGGAAGGAAACCGGAGGACCCGGAGAAAACCCACGAGGTTGGACAGGCGACCCTACACCTTGTCACGTACAACCGAGGATTCGAAACCACGCCAGTTGACTCAATGACAGACTTTATGAAACAGCGCGCGCACGCTTACCATTCAGCCATCCAACCCCCCCGCCTCTAGAGCGTCCACAAGATTTTTCAAAGTGATCAAGGGCCATAACTTTGGCAGTAATTATCGGGAATCGCTGAAAATCAAAAGGCTTCTTCGTCTCATGACCTTAAACACTGTGTATAAATTTAAAGTCAATCGGATATTAATTTTCGAATCTAGAGCGTGAACAAGATTTTTTGAAGTGATCAAGGGCCATAACTCTGGCAGTAATTATCGGAAATTGCTGAAAATCAATAGGCTTCTTCGTCTCATGACCTTAAACACTGTGTATAAATTAAAAGTCAATCGGATATTAACTTTAGCCTCTAGAGTGTCCACAAGATTTTTTGAAGTGATCAAAGGCCATAACTCTGGCAGTAATTATCGAAAATCACTGAAAATCAATAGGCTTCTTCGTCTCATGACCTTAAACACTGTGTATAAATTTAAAGTCAATCAGATATTAACTTCAGCCTCTAGAGCGTCCATAAGATTTTTTGAAAATCAATAGGCTTCTTCGTCTCATGGCCTTAAACACTGTATATAAATTTAAAGTCAATCGGATATTAACTTTAGCCTCTATAGCGTCCACAAGCAATTGTGGGACGGAGTCTGATGGATTGGGCCACGAATATATACGACCACATTTCAATGTGGGCGTATAAAAATGGTAATTGCTCTGCCCCTAACAGCTGACACATCTATACTTTCTATATAAGAAAGAGCGAGGTTAAATTTGCCATCAGACATTATTCCGAGATCCTAGGGAAGACATCATTCAAAGTTCAGGGGAACATCATACCCACAGCCTCTCCAGCTTAGAGGCCAGGGATAGAGACATCATTCGGCGTTCCTAGGACATACTCTCAGTCTCTGGTTCTAGAATGGGATAGAGACAATATGTAGTGTTTCAGCCATTATGCTTGAGTGCTAGGCTTGTTAAAATCAGACTGTAGATATTATAATAACTCCTAATGTACTATCATAGATGTTGTAGTTTCCTGTATTTGATATATAAACAGAGCTAATTGATCATATGCACAATGTGAAGCCAAAGTTAGTTCCAAATCTATAATAGTGTCACCCTAGTACATACATGTGATTGGCCACAAGTAAAATGTCAGGAGATTTTTGTAAAAATGTCAGGAGAATTAAGGTCAAAAGAGGGAGACTTTATCACACATTAAAATTACCCACCCACTATGAATAAAAGATAAATTAATTTACATATTTTATATATTTTAATATGATTTGATTGTTATGATTACACAAACTTAACAAAACACATGAAAACACACGATGTGGCGGCAGTCTTGGACGTCATCTTGAATTTCTCAAAACGCTCAAGGGTGACCGAGGTACACCCGGCAGATTCTGAAAGAGGACACCCTAGGCTACTAAAATCACTCATAAAAAAAACTTTGTATATACTTTTTTAGCCTGTGATCATCTAGATTTGTCTCTGACGTATATTTTTGTAATTCTGTTCTGTTAGGCCTTTCAACTTGTGTATTTATTTTTATCAGATGCTAAAAAATTTCTTTAACAGAAACAACAGTACAACAATTCGTTTCTACATTTTATGTCAAGCACTGGATGCATAGGTTACAGAGGTTTAAACAATGGTATACATAAAAGTCATTCTCTACACCTCATGTGGCTAGATTTATTGAAAACCACTACATCACCAAATGGTCGTCTAAGGACTACATGGTATCTGACCTCTAAAGAATCTAATGCGTGTCTAATTGTAGCACCCAAGTCCAACTCCATAATATGCCTATATTTCGGCTATTAATTATTCAATTGGCCAAATAAATGTAATTAATCATGTGATTGGTTACTTATGCCCTAACCGGTAATTTTCCCCTCATGTGTATTTTAAACAATAACAACTTAGCCTAGAAAAATGTAAATGACCAACATGTTTACTAAACTATAGATCAGTTAAAGTATCAAAATAACCTGCATTACTCACAAAATTTCTTGATTGTGAATTTAGAATCCATAATTTGTAAAGTTAACAATATTGTTTCAGCCACTATAATGTTAAAGAGCCCATAACAAAACCCTGCTTTCATTAATATAGTTATTGTGTTCCATATTATATTTTTGTCTTTATTATGTGTGTCAATTGCTGTATGCGGCACTTAAGAAGGAACTTGTCTTAGTTGGAATTTCGCAATCTAAAGGAGGTGGTCATTAAACTAGCTAAGACATTACATCATTAGAAATAATGTTACTTTAAAGATACTGTTCAACATAATATGTATGGCCAGTCTTTTATTGTTTGCACAAATGGAAAGTTGTCAGTTTCAGCCCATTACTTACCCTGACAGTTTTAATAAAATACTGCATTAAATAGAAATCGGCACCTCCATGACCTTTCAGTACGGTTGCTTCAATCTTAGGTTTGTGCTGACCTGAAACATTGACATAGAAAGATTACAATAAAATTTCAGCTTGGATTCAATAAAATTAAAAATAGGTATATCAAAAGATTTTAGAGTAGAATTATAGGTGATATCCGTAAAACAAAACATCTAAAATGGTGAACGATCATAGCTTTTAATCGAAGATTAGTCATAAAAAATCAAAACAAATATTAAATATTTAACATGAATCGAATGATATATTTTTACATCAATTTTGACCAAATTTTTGGCAGTTTTGACCAAAGTGAATTCTGGCTATTTTGGCTAACACTCCATTTTGACCATACTCAGATGACATTTTGATGAAATATATCTTACTTGTTTGTCCTGTAACAAAGTCACAAACTTCAATAACATTTGATTTGCCATCATCAAAATTTAATTCTCCCTATAATTATAAACAGGTAATATTTAATGTAATTTACAAAGAAACACCAGGGGCGGATCCATGAATTTTTGCAGGCGGGGGTTGCCAGGTTCCTTTTAAGGAAATTTAACAGTTGACAATGCATGATGCCATCATAGTCTTCAAATTACGTAGGCATACATGCACTCTGAGCTTTTTAAAGAGAAAAATCCAAAACCCTGTTTTGACTTCAATTTTTATTATGAACAAGCCAACAGTGAGGCTGATGTCCTCCGCCGAAAACCTCATATAAATAGATGACACATATTAATTAATCGCATATCTATTTTTTTCAAAAGTATCAAGCAATCAAACTGATTATCAACTGTACACTAAATTTCATCACTCTCTATCAGATAGAATCAAAGTTATCTTGTCCCAAAGCATCGACCAAGGAAATTGCTTATCTCTGCTTAGCTTTAGCTTGAACTCAGTCAAGACGAACATCTACATCAAGTTTAAACATACTACCTCAATTGGAAGCAGAGTTGTTATGTTCCAAAGTCTTGACCAATCAAAATGCTTATTGTTCCTTAGCCTAAGCACAAAATTCTCATCATCGAACTTAGTCAAGGTATTGATGTAATGAAACTATACACCAAGTTTCATCACTCCCAAAGCATCAAGCAATCAAATTGCTATCTCTGCTTACCCTAAGCAGAAAATGTTCATCTTCGCACTTCATCAAGGCATTGACCTCATAAAAACCTACACCAAGTTTGTACATTCTAGCTCAATAAGATTGAGAGTTATTGTGTTCCAAAGTATCGGCCAATCAAACTGCTTATCGCTCTGCTTACCCAGAGCAAAAATGCTCATCATCAAACTTAGTCAAGGTATTGATGTAATGAAACTTTACACCAAGTTTCATCACTCTCACTTAATTGGAACTAAAGTTATCGTGTCCCAAAGCATCAACCAATCAAATTGCTTATCTTTACTTAACCCTAAGCAGAATATGCTCATCTTCACACTCCATCAAGGCATTGACCTAATAAACACCTACACCAAGTTTGAACATTCTAGCTCAATTAGAAGGAGAGTTATTGTGTTCCAAAGTCTCGGCCAATCAAATTGCTTATCGCTCTGCTTACCCTGAGAAGAAAATGCTCATTATCGAACTTAGTCAAGGTATGGATGTAATGAAACTATACACCAAGTTTCATCACTCTCACTTAATTAGAACTAAAGTTATCGTGTCCCAAAGCATCAACCAATCAAATTGCTTATCGTGTCCCAAAGCATCAACCAATCAAATTGCTTATCTCTGCTTACCCTAAGCAGAAAATGCTCATCTTCGAATTCCATCAAGGCATTGATGTAATAAACACCTACACCAAGTTTGAACATTCTAGCTCAATTAGAAGGAGTGTTATTGTGTTCCAAAAAGTGTGACGGACAGACAGACGGACGAACCCATTTTAATAGTCCCCTGCTTTCTTCGAAAGGCGGGGGACAATTAATAGAATTGCAGGAGGGGGTTTGTTAAGGGAATTCGACAGTTGACAATGCATGATGCCATCATCATCCCCAACTTACATAGCTTACATAGGCATACATATACACTGAGCTTTTTACAGAAAAAAATCCATCATCCCGTTTGACGTCAATTTTTATAATGAATTAATAGGATCACATTGTGATTCATTTTCATTGATGCAAAGCCTTAATTGTGATATCATATACGTCTATCATTATCTTGCACTTTGAATGCCCAACCCATCTCAACATCTGATAATAAAGGATAAAGCACACGACAGTGACACTTTTCTCAAAAAAAAGTGTTGTTTTACAATTTTTTTTATGTAGCTGAGCAGAGGTGTGTGCCCTTCCGCTCCCCCACACCATAGTGCTATCAAATATATTTAAATGTTAGCTTTTTGCAGCATCTTCAAATCCTGTTTTAGTCATAACATTAATTGCAGCATCTAGAAATTGGCAATCATTACTAATATTTGTGGTAGCTTGTCTTAATAGACTATATATAATACGTACCCTAGTTCCATAAATCGTAGTTTTTCTATCACAAGCACGTTTGGTAAATGCCATCATTGTTAAAGAAGCTGTTTCCCCTCCCTCATATTGAAAATTAACTATCTTAAATACAAAACAAATACTAAATAAGACATATCAATTAATGGTTATGTCTATAGTATAACAGCGGAATAAGAATTATGTCAGTATAACTTATCTACAATATTGTGGAAGATGAATCTGGTTCATTTCCATACAGTATTTACAAAGACATGGTGAAAACCAGCCAATTATAATGTTCTCTAAAATCTCTTGATGGGCTTGTATTTAATCTGACAGAATTCACTGAATCCAAGCCGTGAAATGATCTACAGTAGCTATTTTGATTTTGTTTTCGTATTCAAATATTTTTTAATGGATTATTTGTCCACCGACAACCTTAATAGAAAAATTTTCCTCACTTTCCAAATAGAAAGTTGACAAGACAATCTGTATATTTTTGGCTGAACATTGTCTGTCTGTCCAGGTAAAAAATAAGGTGTATTCCCGCGAAGGCGCAGTTACAGAGCGTGACCAAAATTAATCCTTCCCGCGAAGGCGCAGATATCGACGTGTCAGCTTTCGTTTGAAGAGAGACATGTTGTTATTAGGACCCAATTAACGGTGTTAAAGATTTTATGAATTTATGTTCACTCTGAATTTTATTCACCAATTGACAACTAATGATGAATATCATCAAATCACCCAAGTAGTGTTCACCTATTTGCTCACTCACACAATCAATGTCATTTTTAAAGATATAAAATCCTGTTACACTATCCGAAATTCAGATAATATTCTACAATGGCAAATGCACAACTTGAATTCAGCTTTGTACCTACAAATCGCGGAGGACGATATCTTTGCTCAGGTGGTTATATGTAACGTGTAAGTAAACGAAAAATAGATGAAACTACTATTTGGAAATGCAGCACCAAGAATTGTAATACTTCAAGGGTCAAGAAGCTAGTTGGAAAAGCCCACCCTAATGATTTTGAATTGATCACATTTTTGCAACAAGAACAAAATATTAATGAGATGGGGACAGGAACCACCAAAGAAAGATATAAATATGCTCAAATTCAAAGCCAGCTCGAGGAATTGAAACGAAGACACCAGCAAGATGAATTTACATTAGTCGAGTATTTAGACAGGGTGTCGTATTTGGCGAAATTGAACTAATATTTGTTATATTATAGTTGTTTTTATTGGCGAAGTTAAATTAATTTTTGTTATAGTATAGTTATGTTTTTTATTTATTTGACGAAATTAAATTAATTTTTGTTATATTATAGTATAGTTATGTTTTTTATTTCTTATCTGAAGCTAAAATGTTGGTTAATTAGTTACAGTGGGGATTATGAAAGTGGAAATTCTTATCATAACAATCTATAACACCATTGTTACGTTTTTAATTCATTTTAATCCATTTTAATCCTTAGGGCTGGATTCCTGCGAAGTCGTCGAAAACGACCTTTTTTTAATCCGTTACGGTCAATAAACCCAAAATAAGGTGCTCTGGGTTGGCAATAAAATGTCAAGTCTTTTAATTTCATGTATTGTTAAGATCCCATACATGCTACCAAAGATGTCTGAATTGTAGCATTGTTGGGCCAATTTGTTCAACTTATTTGAGGTTCTATTATTAAAAGAGTATTATCACCTACCTGGTTTGACATGACATCATTATCATTCTGATAAACACAGATACCATACGGACCTGTACGTAAACCTTCAGTTACACTTTCTATATCTGGGACATCAGCTACAATATTAACAGGCCATCCAGTATTACCCTAAAATATACACAATAAACTCAACTGACTGTACACCATCCCAAACTTAGGCTGCCTGTCTACAGCTTGCTCCGCCTGAGAACAGGCCCTAAGCTAATTACCCGACATTTTAATTCCTACATCGACGATTTTAGTCGAAAACACTGAGTATGCTTTTAGTAATTTTTAGAAGTATTTATTTCTCTTCTATTGTCATATTGAATGAAAATAAAAAAGGTAGTTTCACAGAGGCGGTTCTGTTTGCGAAGACAAATTTAGGAGTATCTAACCTTGTTTTGAAAGATAAACAGATTGAAACTCTAAAGACAGTCTACAATGGCAAAGAATGTATTGCAATATTACCACTAGTACATATTATATATAGCTTTTACCGGATTGGCAGAAGTTGACATTTTGCTAAAGACATGTGTTTACATAAAACACATGCTTAATCAGGTTATTTTTACTCTGTTGTGTACACAAAACTGTAGTCCAGTCGATAAGTCCCGGCCCAAAATGATCACATGAACGTTTTAAATGGCGGCTAACTAGGGCAGTGATCATAATGACTATGACGTAGATGGATCGCCGAGTGCAGATTGACTGTACACTACTGACCATGCTAATGTCCCAGTCATGTGGGATTCGCAATCACATAGTACTGTCTGGATAACCATGCCTGTAAGTTTGCCATAGTACTATACACATACACAATAGAGTGAAAAGTCGCTTATATGACATCCATGTGACCTCCCACTCCCACTACAATCAGTCCGCTCTTCATGTAGTGGAAGACGTCGAAAGCATCTAACACTGGAACGAAATATAGACTTGTATTTTAATCAGATTGGGGTGTTGTTACTATTTTCAATATTATTATTAATATGGTTAGGTAGAAAACAAATTTTTAAATTAAAAAAAATTGTTTGTTTTGAAAAACAAAAGTTTGGTACAAAAGGGCAGATTTTTGAGAGGCTTCTCAAACGGTCTATGCTGTAGTATAAAGTCTTCTTCATTGCAACAGTCACAACAAATGACTAACAATTTAAAGGACAATAGTGATGTTATCACTCATCACTTATTTGGAACGTGTTTAACCAGTTCTATCACATAGGTGATAATGACTGACACCAATATAGTCCTTTAAAGGTTAACAATTAATGTACATGTACAATTTATCAAGCAATTTTATAATTATGTTTCTCACCATTTTAACATGATCCAGATAAAATCTTTTAGCTGAATAAGGACAGTTAGACTCTATAGCTCCTGGACAATCAAGACATCTTTTAGCTGCACCTGGAGGCTAAAGCACATAGTAACTATCAATATTTCATTTTCATAACACAGTTACCCAAAAGACTTAAAAGTCATTTGGTGGATTCGTGAAAATTGAAACTGTCAAAGGAATATCAGTTTAATTCCGTTCGACATCCGAATGATGAATTGAAAATTTCTCACCATTCAGCATCCTCTGCAGATTATATAATGAAGCCAGTGTTAGGTGATATCATTTGATGAGCCTCTTTTTAATTTGATTCAATGAAAGATTTATCTATCACTGATATTTATGTTTGGATTTCTTAATTAAATATTAAATAATCAATTTGAGTTCAATTTAGGATGGATGAATCCATGAAAAATTAGATATTGTCTGAAAATACATGATCAGGGTCTTTGACTTTAATATTCTTGACTTTACAATCATATTCTGTCAAGTTTCCCAAACATCATGCAAGACAAACTCCCCCGAACAAATCAATATCTTTTCTCACCTAGCCATACATACATGCTTTTTTGTTCAGACTAAATATGTTGCAGTCGAAGTGTAGACAAAATAGTATGGAATCTATCTCCACTGCTATCATGAGAGTGCTGATCGTATTAATAATGGTGCTTACCTTGTTACTGGAGTTAAAATGGGATAAATGGCCAAACGATGAAATTTTTTCACATTTTCGACCTCCCATCCAATAATTAATAAGATCCACATCATGACAGCATTTAGCCAGTAAGGAATTGCTACTTTTAGCTTCATTATGCCAGTTTCCTCTTACAAATGAATGAGCAAAATGCCAATAACCAACCTGTCAAAAAATACTCATAGATACATTTCCATGAATTTATAGGGTATGGCCTATAAAGAAGAAACACTCAATCTTACTAGAAAAATACTGGATTCCTTGAAAAACATACATGGGGTGCCAACAGGACAAAAATGTCAGTTAGTGGTAAATGGTTCTTATGTGTTGATCTAATGGCAAACGGCTGTGAGAACACTGAGAGTCTAAAAGGTGTAGTAGACTCTGCGATTAAATTGCAGAAAAAGAAGTTGGTAGAGAATAATCCAAGCACTTACTTTTATATTTATTGTATATCAGGGTTGGGAAATAAACATAATTCTTTTAAAAAAATATTATGGGAGATTAGATAAAGAGCTGGCAGTATAATAGTTAAAAAAATGAAAATAAAAAAAATAATCTTGTTCTTAAAATCTAAATCAGATTTTTATTCAAATTCAAACCAGATAACCTCATTTCTATAATTTTGGGTAAATATCAGATTGTAAAGAGATTAGACAAGTTTAGACAAAAAGGAACACATGGATATCGACCAAATTTGATAAGGACCCTGTATACCTTCAAGAAAACTGCTATAGTGTTCACAAGCTTGATGAAATCCATTAAAATCTGAAGCCTCTAAAATGATCTCAACATTTTCAGTCGAAGGGCTTGGGGACTAACTATGGAATGATAAGGTTTTTTCCTCGCAACCACAAACAGATGGTTTCGGAAGGGGGGGGCGTAATTCAGAATTGAAAGGTTGTGGATGGCATTATATTGATAGGATTCATCAGCTCATGACCCAAATGCTTCAAATTTGCAATAAATCTGTTAAAAACGAACGCTAACCGCTATTTATTTATAACTTGATTTTAATTGGAAAAGGGATTTAAACCTGTATTTGGAGAATTTCAAGACACAAATTGGTAACTTAGCAAATAAAAAACATGTACATTTGTATCTAAAATAACTTACTGGTTCTGTATGTTGAATATTTACAACATCTCCTATAGCACCACTGTCTATGATCTCTCTTATTTTCTTTGCCCATTGAATATATCTTAAAACATGACATACAACAAGTATAACATTATTATCTTTCACTGCCTTAACAATCTCTTTACAGCCTTCTGCTGTCACCTAAAATATACACATTAATACTAAACTAAAACAAGTTTTTTCACACCACCACAACAATTTAAAATACAAACTAGGTACCGGTATCTGAAAATACTACAATCCATAGCAACACTGGATACAACCACTATTGTAAACTACAGTATTGTGGAAGTTGAATATCCAAAAAGGAATACCAGTTAAAACAGATTTCAATTCAATATTTACCAGAAATGAAAAATTTATCAACATTCAACATCTTCTGCAAACAATATGGTCAAACTGTTGTTAAAACTATAGTCAAATGTTAAAGACTTGAGTATATTGTAGAATGGATTAAGCCATAAAAAATATCAGATATTGTCATAGGTGTATGTCCCTGGAGGACAGGAATGCCTATGAATATTGTCCAAAAAATGTAAATGCATTGATTTATTGTTATGAATTAACCACAAAACCAGAACCATAAGCAGACATTTGAAGAATACCATTTAAAACTAGACAGGGGTCAACTGGTAGGTTGTTTAAATCTTTACTAAATTCTTTGAAATATTACATCCCTATAGATTAAAATACATAACCTTTACCATAACAACCCAACATTTAAAGATACATTATGGGAGATTAGATAAAGAGATGGCAGTTCTCACTATCATAGTTAAAAACTAGATAATGTAAAGGGAATTTGCTGAAAATTTCAGTCAAATTGATCCACTCTGAACCGAGATTTTAGCGATTGAATTTTTTGCCTAGCCTCGATCATCATTACTAAAGTCGGTACGATAAAAAACATAGTCTCGATTATCCATTTCATGATTAAATCATGAATGGAAGTCAAACAGCAAATCGGAACCTAATCCAATAAACATCGCAGGCTAGCGATGACATCGAACGTTGATTATGGTCTGGATAAGTTAACTAATGTCTAATTAATAATTTAGATAACTTTTCAGGCCTACAGAAAGACCTGCAATAGGCATATTTAGCTCTTGCATAATAGATGTTTAAGAAATGAAATGAATGTCCTACTGTTCTGCTCCACCATTTAAGAAAGAAGTGTATGCAATAAAATACTAATCAAATCACATACTTACTGCCATTGGTTTTTCTAATAAGATATTATAGCCCATTTTAGCAAAAGCCACAGCAGGTTCCTGCCAATATCAGATTATATATATAATTTAGAATTTATTCATATTAACAATAATCTAATTCTTAATTGTAAAGATGACAGTGTATTAATCAAAAGGGTATTTTTTAAAAAATGTTCATACGTGTAATTGTTATCGATCAAAATACGTCATTTTCAAGGCGATTCTATATACTGGTACACGTACACATACAATAAATTGAATCAATGTAAAAGTGAAGTAGCCTTAAATGCTCTGGCCTGTATGTAATGTGTATAATTGTAGAGGAATATACATACCCAATAATTTAGAGTGTTTTATGTAAATGGAAAAATCAATTTTAGGACAGGTCTATAAATGTGACTGAGTGAAGATGTCTCTCTGAATATGGATGAATTTGAATGATATTGGTGTAAAGTGTGCATTGTAGTTAAATGAAATGAAATGGGTTTAACGTCCTACTGTTTTGCTCCTAAACTGGGCTAATGAAGACGAGCATATGCCATACAGTGAGTGTGCTATGAGGGAAATTTTGCCCGGGCAGCGGCGCTACGGCCTACTCTTATATCGAATTCCAACTGCCAAGGGATCTTTTACGTGCATGCCAATTTGTACACGGGACCTCGGTTTTTCGTCCCATCCGAACGACTAGACAGCTGTCCTTGTCAGGCCCGCATTGTAGTTAAACACTTTACATGATCATAGAAAGTGATCTTTATTGAACATATAACTTTCTTTTAACTGATTTTTGTAATAATGTAAACATTAAGAAAAGTTTCACAACTTACTTTGTGTAACTCATCTGGTGTGGTTATAATAACACAATCTGCAAATTTATCTTTTTTCAGAACATCACTCCAATCTAACATAAAGATTGATTATAAACACTATAACACCTGATTTCTACATTATTTCAAGTGTTAATTTAACATCAAAGAATTTTAAGCTTTGTTAAGTAGAAAGAGAGAGAGAGATAAATCGGGGTTAACTTCCACTTGATACAAACTAGGTCCTGTTAGGACTAACATATGGTTCAATTTTATTTCAACAACTCGCGCGTATGTGCAATTACTCAACAATTTGCTAACAATGGTTTCAACTAAACATTAAATACAGAAACTCCCACTAAAACAGCATAAATACACTATACCCAAGTTGTAGTGTAAGTTGTACAGATGTATCATTCAACAATGGCCGATGCATGGGCGATGTTTTGTTAAATTTATAACTAAAACAGTGACCGCAGGCTGCGTTAAGAGGGGTGACCTTAATTAAAGAGATGAAAAATGGAATTCTATGGGGGGAATTTATTGTGACCGCTTACAAGGAGATGTCGCTGAATAGGAGTGGCTGCTCGTACAGATTCTACTGTACATGTATTTGTAAATCTGATGATTGAAGCTGGTTAATATTGTACATTACTGATCACAAAACATCCAAACGTCTATGGAGGATATAGAATGCACACATCCAAACGTCTATGGAGGATATAGAATGCACACTAATTCAATCAATCACAAATAAAGTTAGCGTAGCTTTATATAAATAAAAACTAACAAAACAGTTTCAATTAAAAAATCAAATTTAGCAAAGTATTCAATAAAATTATCTACCATTAAAAGTATTTCCATCTGGTATTTTATGTTTTTCTTGAAGTTGTTTTCTCTGAAATTCTACGGGGCAAGCCACACCAACTATCTGGCAATAAAACATAAATTAAATTACAAATAAAATAATACTTTACCAGATATTCATCATATCGACATCAAAACATTTTCTATTCTTGTTAATTACGATAAAATACTTTGTAGCCCTCATTTGAAATCAATTTAGTATTAACATTTGTCAGATTGACATTTTCCCCATTGAACCATGTGGAATTTTACCCCATCAGTGACGTTCATTATCTTCATTCCAATGATTTACAGTGTGCACAACATTCAAGTAATAAATCCTACGCCCCACCCACCTCATCAAATTAGATGACTTTAAATTATTTTGTATAAAGATTCTCTTTCTGGTCATATTTGCTAGTCTTGACTGACTGGCACTGATATTTATCTGTCAGTCATTTTACATTCCATAGAATCAAGTATTTAAAAGAGAGAGAGAGAGAGAGAGAGAGAGAGAGAGAGAGATAGAGATGGGGTTTAACGTCCACTCGACACAAACTAGGTCATTTCGGGACTAACATGGTTTTTTAAATTTTTATTTCAATAATTCGCTTGCGCGTAGGGGTCTTTAGCAGTGGGAGGAAACCGGAGGACCCAGAGAAAACCCACGAGGTTGGACAGCCGACCCTACTCCTTAGTATTTAAAAGAATTTGACAGTAGCCTTAAAAGACGATAAAGTTACATTTGCAGTTTTGCCGTACATGTATAATAATATGCATAAATTTGTATAATATCAAAATTATCATATTCCTTGAAAATAATATCTTGCTAATCTGAAATCAACAAATGACATACAAAAGTTTACGGGCTGGAAAAATTCACAACTGTCTACATTATGAAATTAATAATATATTTTGGCAATTTTATTTGTCTTTTCAAATAATTTCATCCAGTGGTTTAGGCAAACTGTTGGTCTAACCTGTAGCTCTTGTGGAAAGTGAATGGCATAGCTGGAATATGTCTGTCCTCTACTGCCAGCTCCAATGGAAATTGCTGTAACTATTTTCTTCTTATCAGACATTCTAAAGAACTTTTTGATACTGCTAACAACGTTCACTATAAAATATGAAATTCTTGTAACATACAATTGTACTTGTAGAAGAAATTGTGCCATGAACAGGGAGCATGTCAATATGTAAACAGGACATAATATCAAGATAAGATAATAAGATAAGACTAGAACTGCGATGCAGTAATGACGGGTTTCACCGGTGCCACGTTACCCTAAACATATGTCACTTCCGGTACCAATGAAACCATTAAACAGGTTTCCACCTCATCATTGCACACATCAAATAAAATGGACGCCGAATCAACCAAATCCAGCAATATCAATTCATTTTATATATTTGTTACATGTAAGTGTACAGTACTTCCGGTGATAATGAAAATATTCAATTAGTTTTATGAAATCAGAAATGGCATAAGGCATCACATGGTGAAAATTTTATGTAAATTGAATAATAATTGCCACTTTTTTTAGACCAAAAACTTTAAAAAGTGACTTGTAGAAAACCGTCAATTCCTCTGCAACCATACAAGTTAGAAACCATTTTCTGGAATCTGTATGATCGTATGGGTTTATTCTATTTGTTGATGGGAATAAAATATCATAATTTTAAAAACATAACAACTCAGACTCATTTGAATAAAATATCTGTTTTGAAAGCTAAAATACAGTTTTTGCCAAAATGACGTTACTTCCGGTGATAATTAAAATCTTAAATTACTTGTATGAAATCGTAAATGGCATTAGGTATCACATAGTGAAAATTTCATGAAAATCGAATAATAATTGACACTTTTATGGACAAAAAACCTTGAAAAGTGACCTGTTGAAAATTACCGATTTCTCTACAACTGAACAAGTTAGAAACCATTTTGTGACACCTATATGATCGTATGGGTTCATTCTATTAGTTGATTAGAATCAAATATCAAAATATTAAACAAACAACAAATACGACTCATTTCAATAAATTATTTGTTTCTAAGGCTATAAATACAGTTTTTACCCAAATTTCGTCATTTCCGGTGACATGGAAAATGTTAAATTGAGTTGAACTAGTCACAATTGACATTATGCATCAAATGGTGTCACTTTTATGAAAATCCAATAATAATTGACTCTTTTACAAACTAATTTTGAGATAGATTCTCTTCATATGGATTAATGCTACAAGTTTATGAAAGTTGCGAAGAAATATTTTAAAATATGAAAAGCCTGAATGGGTTGTAAATAGCTCATTTTTTCACCTTTTTTCACCTTTAAATCAAAATGACCCGAAAACGAAATCGAAATTAAAATAACTGAGCCCGATGTTTTCTGCGCCTTTACAGGGCACACACTTTCAGTCATAACAGATTTGAAAAAAATAATATTTGCTTTCAAAAAGTGGTACCGAACTGTCAAAATTGTAGTTTTTGCTAAATTTACGTCACTTCCGTTGCCGAAAGGTAACTTTACCGGTAACAAAAAAAATGACATTTTGGATTACGGAGCATATGAACTTTGTTTTATACAAATCGAGCAATAAATAATTAATCCAGGACTGAAAAACTGAATTAGCCAATGGGGGTCAAGGAAATTTACGATGACAAAAAATGGTGCCATTTTTGGTCAAATCAGATGACTCTTTAACCCTGGGTAAAATACCACATTAAAATATTCATGAATAAAAAAGTTTTTTGTAAAAATTTAAATTTTCAAAATTTGGCGCCTAATATCTCCGACGATTCGTGGAAAATCAAAAATCTAAAGAACCGTGGCTATGTGCCTTGTCTCTGGCTATGTCAAAATGTATCCAATTTTAAAATCCCACGATTATTGTTAATATTACGGCAATATTTCAAAAATCGACAAATTCGACGATTTCGGACATTTTGCATTGTCGCAGAACGTTCGAAATAGCTTTAATCTCTAAGTCACACCCACTTTTCCAGCAAAAACGAAGACATCGAATCAATCCGACAAGTAGTTTCTGAGATACAATCAAATTGGAAAAAAAAAAATGTACATGTAGCGCTACACAATTTATGTTCTTAGATTCATTGCATGAAATACAAAAGCACTAACTGATTTTGAAACTGTTTTTGGTGGGTTAAATAGATTTTCTAGAGAATAGGGTAGATAATTATCCGTAAATGTTGGGTATATGTAAACGGTACGTAAATTTTCATACAATGAACATTCTAGTAAAAAATGTGCTTCATCTTCAGTTTTGTGCATAGAGTATTGTTGGCATATTCTTAGATCTGGGGGGACATTTTTGTATCTGCCCATTTCAATTTGGAGTGAGTGTGAACTAAGTCGGAGTGCGGTCATGGCTATTTTATAGTTCTTGTTATGTACATAACAGAGATATTCAGCAGGTTTATAGATTTCTGTTTTAAATAAACTGTAGGTCCTAAGTTTTGAAGCTTTAAATGGACTGGAGTGGCATGATTCGGTGAAAAGGGAGTTGAATTTGGATTGAAGTGATGATTTGATATTAACTTTAGTGAGGTTTATCAATGTAAACCGGTTTCCAGAAATCTTAAACAAAGTCTATTATTTCAGTGAATAAAATTGGTTAATCCTACATGGAAGGACCTTACATCTATTTATATGAGTCACAAACATTAGTCTGAAGCTCTAAGATGTTTTCAAATAAATACCAAGGTCCAGTTGTCTGGTGGAATTGGAAGACCTTGTGCTTGGAATTACATAAGCTCTGTAAACTGTTGATAATTTCAGATAAGGTAAATGATTTAGTGTTGGTTTTCTTAAGTAAAAACTTGGACTTAAAAAAAAACAAAAACATTTCTCAAACTTTTTTCTTTCAGGTGATGACCAAGGCTCTGAAAAATTAATAATAACTGTTTGCATATTTACATCTTTACAACATACAAATTTATCTGCAAGGCAATTATCCTTTGCTGGCTACCAAGTCATGTCACAAACAGCTTCTGCAAAATTATTCCACAATTAGGTCATGTCAGATGTAATAATGAGACAATAAACACAACTTCATCATCAAAATAGTACAAATAAAGTATTTATTGTGTGACAAAAAAATAAATTCCCCCTTTTAGGCGTTTAAATTTGTCCCTCTTGGTGGTGTTGAATACCAAAGATATGGATTGAAATCTACAAGTTGTATCTTAAAATAAAGGTAAGGGATGTTTCTATCCATCAGAAGTGTAAAATTCCAAAAATCGTATTATTTTTCAAAAAAATCATTTTAAAAGTGTGTAATGGACGTTACAAATTCCGTATGTTTATGTTACAAATGAAGAGGCATTCTTTTGTGATATGATGTAAGTATTTCTGTTGATCTACAGATGTCTGAGAAGAAATTGTTCACATTTTCGATTGTCCACTTGAGATTCTACCAAAGAATCGCGTCCGTTATTTGCCTTTTTGATGATCGATATTCCCTGTCCTTAAACTATTGTTGTCGTCACGTCCGTTATGCCAAAATCACGTCCGTTATGTTATTACAAGATATTACAGATGCCAAAGCCACCTGCTTTGCGCTCAAAATGAAGAGTCGTTCCTCACATTCAGGTGATCAAACAAAAATGAAATAATCCCACAAATTTGATTGATAACCATTTGACCTTCAGTTTTATGTGTAACGGATGTGATGGTGGACGAAATTGATAATGTCAAACATCACTACCGTTACACAAAGAAGCTAAGATAACCTAAAGAAACTTTATGAGTCTTTATTAAATTGCATTAAATTACATAGATTGTCTTGTTCCTTGAATGACATTTAGAAGTAGAGGTACAATATTCATAATAACACAACTTTATGGATTTACTACTTCTTAGTTTATTACATGCAACGTTTCAATACTCTTACAGGTATCTTTATCAAGCAATGATCAATAATGAATAACAACCATACATTTATAGTACATTCATGAGTAAAAACAATATAACAATCAAAACATAACATCAATTAAGATTTATAACAACAACTATTTCCCTTTGAATATGACTTCACTATCTCTATTAAATAACAATGAAATCTTGCCCAATAAAGTGTGTAGAAGAGTTATCAGTTCAGAAATTTCACACTGTTTTGAAATCAGATGTCCAGGAAAGATTTCTTGGGGTAACAGGACACAAAGCTATATTTCTATATTCAAGAATACAGATTTTGATATTATCACACTGCAAATCAACTGGGCCAGTATTTATTAGCAGATTTGGGGCAAATATTAATTGGACATGTTACGTCTGTTACAAGCTCGAATGGTCTGCAAAATGTGTATTTGCACAAAAACAGAACAACAAGTTATCTTTTCCATTACACAATTAGAAAGATGAGTTATTAATAGAAGTTTCTGACCCCCCAAGAATTGGAAAAAAATCAATTTAAATTTTGCTGCCTTTTCATCTGAAGTTCTACACCTTATCATGGCTTGTGTCATAACAATGATGATCCATTTGAATGTATAGGGGTTGATGGAACTGGATGTGTAATAGGTTTTTATTTAATAAAATGAGACATTATTGTGGTATTGTACATGATGAAGTGATTAAATAAAATGATGAAAGTCAGTATCAAATGTAATATTATGTTCAACTTAAAGTAGCCAAGTCTTTAACTCAGTATTATCCACAGTCTTGGATACTGCAAACACAACTTATTGGTTAATTTAAATCAACATTAAACATGCATTATGCAAGACCTAAATCTGACTATTGCAGGGCTTTCTTTAGGCCTGAAATGTTATCTAAATTATTAATTAGACATTAATTAACTTATCCAGATCATAATCAACTCTCGATGTCATCGCTAGCCTGTGATATTTACTGGATTAGAATCCGATCTGCTGCTCAACGCTCATTGATGATTAAATTAAAAAATGGATAACCTAGAATATGTTTTTTCTCTTACCAACTTAGTAATGATGATCAAGGCTAGGCCTAAAATTCAATCGCTAAATTCTCAGTTCAGAGTGGATCAATTTGACTGAAATTTTCAGCAAATTCCCTTTACTTTACCTAGTTTTTAACTATTATAGTGAGAACTGCCAGCTGTTTATCTAATCTCCCATAA